CTCCGCATGCAGCGGCCGGGGGGACCTTTTTCAATCTTTAAATAATTTGAGAGAATTGAACTGGAATTCCATGAAAGAAGAGTTTGATTATCATTTTTGTTCTTCTAATGCACCGAAAGGCCAATTGTTAGATACAATTAACAAAGAGAAAATAATGTATCAAACAACAGTCAAAGTTACAAAGAGACAAACCTAAAAGTGACCTAACCCGGTTGCATGACCAAGATGGCTACAAGGATCAAGTGAAATATTGAAGAGAAACAAGACACATCTTTACTGTTTACCGAAATGAAATTGTATTTTTTTTATTTTTTTTAACATCTATTGAAAATTTTATTATTTGGCTTCTTTTTCGTATATTTTACCTAAAGAAAGACACGTGATCCGTCATGAGATGTAAGTAAAAGTCTCTGTAATATGCGTTAGTCTTATAACCTGTAAGCTAGTTTAACATTATCTACAATTCCACTAGTGTATGCGTCACCAAAATAATAATAATAATAATAAAAATAAAAAAGCCACTAGTGTATGTTAAGCATTTTCTCTATGGAATTAATGTTTATTCAAAAAAGAAAAAAAAAAAAAAAAGACAAATAACAAAAATAAATAATTAAATAAGGAACACCACAACTACAAAATATAAAATGAGTACGAGTAAATTAACATGACGACATGTACGACAATTGATAAATCAGAATATGCATGCATGCCGCGTGCCACTCATTCATAAGAACAAATAGAGCAATTAAAAAAAAGTCAAAGTTTTCTCGTTGTGGTATCATACACCTCAGTGACCTCTGAAACATTTTACTTGGCTATAAAAACCTATCACGACCTTCTAATATCATTGTATAAGGTGAGATTAGTCTTGTAATCCAACAAGTAGTCTAATCTAATGTGATCAATTATATCGTCTCTCTAGTGACTTTTCTCTGCAGCAAACTAAAATGGTTGATAAACAACCAATGAACCTTGTCTGTCTGGAATTCAATAACCCACCAGCGAACCTTATTTATATAGAATTTTGGTGCAATTACAGTAATCTCATTTATGATATCAGTTGAATTGAGCTGCACTCAGCCATCTGTATCACTGTAGAATGAAGGTAATATTTACCCACTTTCACAGGTGAGGTATTGAGTGCTGTGGACAAATGAGTGTGTTTATTGTCTATAAAAAAAGATAAAACAATTTTAGAGAAATTGCAATGTCATAGTGATCAAACTCAAATAAGAAGTAAATTATACATATTTGCACCCATTATAATCTTAATTAATTTTAATTTAAAAAATTGTCAAATTCATAACATCTGAAAACCTACAAACTGAACTCAATTATTGAAAAATTAAATCAATTTACACAATTTAATACCGTTTCAAAGATTTGACGCCATTAATCATGAGAGGTTTTCAGGAGAGTGTCATTTCTTTTTATTAATTCTTCTCTTTTTCAATGTCCTACCTTTTAGTTTTTTTAATAGTCCTACGAATGCTTATAATTAGCTTATAGAGCCGAGCTGAAAATATGATCAAAGTTGACTTGATTATGCCATGAATTAATCTAAGAAAAAGCCTTTAGCCTAGCCAATTAGTCAAGGGTTCATATATATTATTGTCCAGGATGCTGGTAATCCATCCAAATAATTAATTTACTCGAATGGAATTAATGACACCTTTAAACTTAATGTTATCATCATATTGGACAAAATCTTCAATTTGGTTTGAAGTTTGTGTTCCTCTCCATGTCAACTCATTTTGTTATAATATTACAAAAATAAAAATGTTTTTGAAGATGTAATCTTCTTCCATAGACCATTCTAGCCAAATAGAACTTCTAGAACAATCACTCCATAGTCAAAAATATAAAAATCCATACAAAAATAGATATTTCAGAAGAGAGGAAGATCGAATTGATCATTTTTTATGCCATGACCGAACCTAGGATCATCTAGATTGCCTACGTATCCCAATGATCTCATGGTTGCGATCGGGAATCAGGTCAAAAACGTAGTTCTGGTGGTGGCAATCGTCGCTCCTCTTTCGGTACCTTTGTTGTTCTCTCTCCCCCCTCTCTATTGGGGCCTCGCTTCCTTTATCTACTAGCAAAACCCTAGTTCTGTCCTTTTTGGACTGTTTTTCGTGGCCACGCATCCCACTTATTTGGGCCTAAAGTGTAATTCTAAACTGGTCGGCCCGCTCCCCTAGCCCGGGCTAAACGCATTAATCAATTATATGGGCCTTGATTCTGGACATCCGTTGAATTGTAATCGACACTTCATTTGTACAGGTCGTACTTCAATTGGTGGGTATTTTCTGCCCCCACAGTTTTATTTATGAGTAATATTTGCATCCTGTGCGGGGAGGATGAAGTTCATTCTCCCCGCTGACGTGGCCTTCTCTATGACTGACACCTGTCCAAAATAAAAAATCATAAAAACATGGATAATACCCATTTATTCGGGTTAAATCCATTTATTGTAATGACTCTCTTCTCTCCCTCTTTCCTCAATACCTCAACTGCAACAAAGACCATTCTAATCTTCCATATCTCTCTCCATTTTAAGCACTTTTGGGAAATCATGTGCTTGTTCTCTCTTCGATTTTGGGGCTAAGCCTCATGGACGATGACCTGTTAAAGGCACTGGGCGAGATGAATTTTTTTAAATCCTTTCATGTAATCGTTTTTTTTTAATCGACGAGGCCCGTCGATCTGCAGCAACAACCCATCGACTTTGTGCAGCCAGAGGCCCGTTGATTTTCATTCCATCGATGTTGTTGAAAAACATATCATCAGTGATATTTTATTACGCTGATTATGAAACTTACAGAGGAGTTTAAAAAAAAAAATTTAACTTACAGAGACCATGTTCAAGCCTCTTTCGCAAGATGGGGCTAGGCTTTCTTCTGTTCTTTTCCGAATCGCCGCCGCCCATCCGTCGTACTCGTACCGCCGACGAATACCGTCAATTACGTACAAATCAGTTTGTCAGAGGACCATATATTTCATTGGACCCACCATGGATCTGGACTGATACAGGTTTCGCCGTTTGTCGTCACCGACAGACCGTTTCTCGTCGATCGCCGTCGCCGTCAGACGCCATAGAGGGCTCGTCAAACCATCGTTCTGTTCATCCTTTCGCTGCCATTTTTCTTGTTCGGCGGTTGTCCTTCTTAGGCTGAGCCCATCGACAACGCCATCCGGTCGATTTTGGGCCAACTTGACAATTCTTCATTTGCTGCACACGTCCTCCATATTTTTTAGATGGGCTTGTCGATCTCCGGCCACAACCCATAGACTTTTCGTTGTACCCATTTGGATTGACGAGCAATTCCTTCAAATCCAACCAATCAGAACAATTTGGAGAGAGTGATTACGTGAAATGGATTTAACCCGAAGTATTATCCATATTTTTATGATTTTTTATTTTGAACAGGTGTCAACCATAGGAAAGGCCATGTCAGCAGGGAGGATGAACCTCATCCTCCCTAGTATTACTCTTTATTTATCCATTTGAATTTATACCGTAAATATTTATTGAACTAATTAAACCATATGTGTAAATCCAGAGTGCCTATCAAGAAAAGTCTAAGGTTTTCTCAATTCTTTCTTTAATTTTCCATCACAAAATTTGCTTAATTGGATACTGCACGCGTGAAATGGAACACATCAATGACGTTGAGGGAAAAGTCTAAAGTTTTCTATATTTTTTTTTTTTCTATAATTTCACAAAAATTATTTGAAGAGTTCTGCTCACGTGCATTTTACGTGGACACCATATGTGTGAATTGGATATTACAGTGATATTGAGAGGATATTAGATATACGAAGTAGCATGAAGAAGATTATACTTACTACGAAAAGCTGTTGTGACTTGATAATTATCATTATATATAAATCCTACCACACTTCCCATTTTACTTAGCCACGAGGGAGGAAATTATACATTTTTACTTGGCCACAAGGAAAAGCAAATTACAAATTTTTCATCCATTATAGTCTTAATTAATTTCAATTTCAAACATTAAACCAATTTATAAAATGCTGAAATTCCACAAACAAGTAATATCTTATTATATCAATTATATTATTTCTCTAATGGCATTTTCTCTGCAACACACTAAAGGCTTCATAACAACTCAGTAAACCCTATGTGCGTAGAATTCAACAACCCACCAATAAACTCTATACGTATAGAATTTTGTTGCAATTACAGTAATCTTACTTATGAGATCAGCTGAGTTGGAGGTGCACTAAGCTGTCAGAATATAAAGTTCACCCCATTTAATAAAAGTTGGACAACAAGATAAAACAGTATTAAAGAAATCGCAATGTCACAGAGACCAAACTCAAATAAGAAATAACTTATAAGTGTTTAAAAAACTTATGGTTATGAGTGACTTTTTAAAATTTTGTATCAAATTTCGAAGGTTATAGCTTAATGTATCTCCTCTACTTCTATAGATGATAGTGAGGGTTCGAATTCGATATTCCCGTTGGAACAAATGGGTGAAAAAAAAAAAAAAAAAAAAAAAAAAAAAACATAAATTATTTTCATTGGTGAATTCTCAAAAGTGACATATACTTTCTAAAACTTTTCCCTTACATTCTCATATGATATTAATAGTTTATCAAAGTATGTATTTTTCTAAACTCCTTCAATTTTTTAATGAAGATTTGGTTTGTCATTTATAAAACTACCAATTTTTTAAGATAAAATGAGGTAGTTCATTTTATTTATTTATTTATTATTATTATATATGTGTGTGCGGTGGTCGTTGTTTAGTTGTGTTAAAGTTCAGTGTTTAATAAATTTATAAAATTATTATTATTATTATTTTTCCTGAATGGGATTTTTTATAATATTTCAAAAAGTACAATTACAGTAGGAGTAAAAAACACTCCAATACAAAGAAGGTAATGGACAAACCCACATACCACCAAATTAACTTATCCTTAGATAATCAAAACCATAAATCAAAAAACAAACCAAAAAAAAAAACCTAAAACAAATAAGCAACACATAGATAACCATTATGCCCTGTTCCACATGCTGCTTCTAACCATGAAACCCAAAAAACCTAAAAGACAACCCACCATCTATTAGCAGAAACAATCAAGTGTAAGAACACATCTGGCATCACAACACAAATCAAATCTCAACAACAGTCTGCTGTCAAACTACACAACCACGAACTGGAACAGGAATCAATTCTGTCAGCAGCCTGCTTTCAAAATTGCACACGATCTTCAAACCCTCAAATGTGCTTGTCCACAACTAAGCAAAATCCTTGAAAATCAAAATCAATGCCTGGAAATTACTAGCTAGTAACTTCCACTTCAGATATTAATCTCCAAAAATTATCATAAAATCAACCAGACTAAGATTTAGATATGCAATTACATCCCAAATAATAGCCTGCACCACCTGATTAGATGGATCTTGAATCTCACTATGAAGCACATTGTTTCGCACAGACCAAATCTTCCAAATTGTCACTGCAAATAAACCGCATAGAATATTTGATTTGATAGATTTTATCACAGTATATTGAATGAACCAATCCACCACCTGATTCAAAGATACAAATTTTGGACACTGTAAATGAACCAGCTCAAAAATTTCTCTCCAAATTCTTGAAGCAAAATCACAAGAGGTAAATAAATGATCATTAGTATCAGCTCCTGCAAAGCATTTATGGCAGACAGATACTAATTGTAATCCTCTTTTCTGTAAGTTCACAAATGACAAGTTTTTATTATGAAGAATAATAACATCACACAAAGTAACTCTGGGCCTGTATTTCTTCCAAATTAAACCTGCCCATTTCTCTATTTGAGTTGAAGATCTGCAACTATTCCATGCTGCTTTCAGGCTGAACTGCCTATCTTTCCACTTAATTTGATCTGGTCCCTCATGAATAACCACCTGCTGAATGACATTTTGAATGAAATCAAGATTTTCAGTAATACTCCAAGCCCCATGATCAATAATAGAAGCCAAGACAGTTTGTCTATCGACCCCTTTGAACCTGGCAGCTCCAAATAATTGAATGAGAGATTGCTCATTGCACCAGGGATCTGTGACAAGCTTAAAACAATTACCATCACCTACCTGGAACAAGACCTTATCAAGCATCAAATCCCTCACCTCCAAAACATGTTTCCAAACAGCAGAATCTGTGGCTTTTGGAACCACCAACCAGAACACAGTTTTATTTAGATAGGATGCTTGCAGCCATTGTATCCATAGTTTATCCTTTTTCTGAATGAAGTCTCAGCACATATGCAATTTTGATGCACAATCAATATCAATAATTCTCCTAACATTAAAACCGCCCTCCACAGCAGGTAGGGTGTGATACCCCCTAATTTTGGAACACGGATTGATCAAGTCCGCGCACAAAATCAAGGGATATCAAAACAATTTAAGTATTTAACAAGCACAGAATACAAAGATGAATAATAAAGAATAAATAAACCGCTGAAGAAAACTAATAAATAAATATTACTTAATGATTCTCCAACAATTACAATTCGGAAATCCCATAACTCAAGGACCCCTTAAAACATTATCCAATAATCCAATACTATTTAAAAGTACACAAGATGAATAGACGAATGACAGTCTCCCAGCTGCGGATCCTCAACCTCGAGACTGGAACCTCTAATAACCTGAAAAATAAATCGTGGGTTAAACCCTACGAGCAAGTTCACTCTACCAGGCCTCTGAAAACCAATAAGCAGATCATCTCTGATCAAAACCAAACCTAATAAAGTTTTAACTTTAATAAAGCACGATATACATGTCTATATATAATTATATATACTATACTAATCACATCCATTAATAGGTTTATTAAATTTCCATACCTATTAAATAATTATTAAAATAATATTCATACCTAGACCAATCTACCATTTCATTTTATAAAAACTCCTTTGACCTTAATCCCATCCTAGTCAGTTGTTTAATCATTTAAACAACAAATTATAATAAAAGAAATACTCTATTTAATCCCAACCCGATAATGATTTTAATTGTTTAAATCACATATCCAAAATCCAAGTTTTGACAAATCATCCACGTCTTTCCCAATATTATTTTATTAATGTAAAATAATACACTAACCAGTAAGTACTAAACTATTCTCATTTAAGAATATCTAACCATAATCCAATCCATACATACAACAACCATAGATGATATTTTAATCATCTAACACATAACAACGTAATTATGCTTTGGCAAATCAACCATGCCATTGTAAATATTTTTATTTATATATTGGCAATTCAACCATGCCTCCATAAGTATATTTATTTATACATTGGCAATTCAACCATGCCTCCGTGTATGTATATTTATACATTGGCAATTTAACCATGCCTCCACAGGTATATTTATTCATACATTTAATTAGCAATTCATCCATGCTTTCCATATATGTATTCTATTCATACAAATATTTAGGTAATATATTTAATCATTTGACAATTCATCCATGCCCACACTTTAACCATGAATTAACTTTAAAATTAACAATACGCTAAATCATACATAACCATCACATGCATATTATACGCATATCATTAATTTAACAACCAGCCTATTAAGATATGCCAAATAAGAATGATAATATTAATCATCTTAAATGATTTATATATATATATATACCTACACATATGTTATTTAATGTATATATGTGTTTAACACCTTCTTTAATAATCCTTGATTATTTAAAATTAATATACATACATACATACATATATATATATATATATATATATACACTTCCTTCCATAACAAATTATTAATTTATTATATTTACACAAATTAGTGCAACTAAATATGTCAGAAATAGTTTCCTTTAAATACTCCATATTGGTTTAAATAGTTTTCCGACACTTTCTCACTAAAACATAAATATCTCCTAGTAGGATGGGAATCTGATAATGAAATTGGTACCATTGGAAAGAAGACGAAAAATCCTTGAATTTGAGCTCAAGAATGACCCAATTTCGATTTAAAATGACTAAGTTATGACCGTTTTAATTTCTAGTGTCGAATTAGGCCAACATAGTTTCCCACGCGCGCCCACGTGCTTACTATGCACTTGCACGCGCTGGATTCAAGCCTCCTTGTGTGCTGGTATTGGCTAAGCTCTTTCAGCTACCGTGAGCTCACCACACTGAATCCATCACTTCCTTTATGCTGCATCCAATGGTCATAAATGAGTGCGCAAATGAACACGCTCACACTAGATTATTTTCTATTAACTATAATAGATCTAAGGTCCAGATCAGCGAGTGCACCATCTTCTCATGGTCTGCAATACACCAAATAATCCCATAGTTGATCAGACCACTTTTATGGACCAGATACACATGCGCACCAAAGTTTTATGCGCCGCGATGCACCATATCAATTCACATAAGTTTAATTAATCAAATGGCCCTAATTGGCGTATACACCCTATTATCCTACACCGCGCCGCACTGGATCAATTCTTTATTGTGCCGCCGCTCCACATGCGCCAGTTACCTAGTATATATATATATATATATATATATATAATTATTTTCCTAACAAATAATAGGAAAATAAATCCTAATAAATTCCTAAAAATATCATAAAAATTCCAGAAAATTACAGAACAATTCTAGAAAATAAAGAAACCATAATTAACTCTCTTGGGTCACAAATCCACCTATAGATTGATTTTAAAACATACATAACACCTATATATATCAATTAAAATCCAATAATCTAAAAATCAAATATAATAGTTTATACTTTTTAATTATTCCGATCTAACCATAATTTTTAAACAAATAAATTTAATTAAAGCCTTGATACTCAAGGTGAAATCCTTATGAGTTCTAAGAGGAAAGTTAGAGAAAACTCGCCTGAAGGTTTCGAAACGAAACCGACGCTTTAAGCTTTAATTATCTCTTCCAATTCCGACGTCCTCCTTTTCAGATCCGACCTCCTCCTTGTCAGCCCTTCTTCTTCCTCTCTCTCTGTCTGTTTTATTTTTCTAACGTGTAAAACCTTTAACCCTAAAGTCTTATGTGTATTTTTATACACTTTAAATTCCAAATCCTATTCCAACTAGTATTATGAATTAAAATAATAATCTTTAAATAATTTATATCTATAAACATATATATATATATAAATATATATTCCTTCCATAATTAACTCATTAGTTAATTAAATCATATATACTTATAAATATCAATAAATATATATCTATATATATATATCTTTCCATAACAATTATTAATTAATTATATTTATATATAATTATATATATATATATATAAATATAATTGATACAAAAGTGATCATTTAAATAATTAAATAATCACGGACCTTCATTAATTAACCCAATAAGGTTTCATACAAGCCCAAGACCACATCTTTTGGTCCAACTTTCCTTAAGCCCAATCCAATTAATTTAAATAAATAAGATAATTAATTAAATACAGAAATTAAAATAACTAATTACATGAAGCACATAAACAAACAAGAATTTACAACTAAGTCATATAATACCAATAAAATCAACACACCAATAATTCAATCAATAATCAACCACACAAACAATCAATCATCATACATAATCACGAAATATAACTTAATTAAAATAAGATAATTAATCTAGCACTCAATAAAATAAAATAAATCATTGAAAAATAAAATAAAATAATTAATCCTAATTAATAAATCTTTTAAAATTATCGGGGTATTACATAGGGTAACTTTACTCCACTTCAATTGAGACATCTTCCTAATCTCTTGTTTACCACTCCACAAGAATTTCTTAAACCTTCTTTCCAACATGATCTTAACTTCCCAAGGGATTTTAAAGCCAAACAGCCAATGATACAGATATGAAAATAGAACAGACTTGATTAGTTCTAATCTTTCTGCCAATGAACCTTATCTAGCATCAACCTTATCTAGAAGAATTATGTAATCACCACTTCTAAGTAAATTATTAGATAGAGGTAAACCAAGATACTTGAAGGGAAAAAATTCCACTTGAAAATTCAGAATTCTTGCTAATCTTCTTCTTCCTCTCACTGCTTTTGAAAAAATTATAGAACTTTTGTCTTTATTAACTTGAAGTCCAGCACTATTTTTAAATCTCTGAAGAACTTCTTCAACACCTTTTATAGAACCCACATCAGCCTTCACCACCATTACCAAGTCATCAGCATAAAAAGCGTGAGAAATGCTCAGCCCTGTCTTAAGAACAGCATTACACCTCTTCATCTTCCCTTCTTCAATAGCTTTAGCAATAAAAGTGGAGAAATATTCGGTGACAAAAGCAAACAAGAGAGGAGACAAGGAGCATCCTTGTCTAAGGCCTTTAGAAGCTAAGACGAATCCTGCAGGCACTCCATTACAAAGAATAGGAAAATTGGCTGTAGAAGTACACTCCATCACCCAACTAATCCACTTCTCACTGAACCCAAAACTTAGTAATATCTTCTGTAGAAACCCCCAATCCATTGAGTCATAAGCCTTTTTAAGGTCTATGTTCAAAGCAACAGATGGATCACCTTTTTTCCTGCCGAAGTTCTTGACTAAATCAGAAACAAGCCAAAAATTATCATGCAATCTCCTATCTTTGACGAATGCAGAGTCTTGCAGACTGCTCAGGCCCAATTAAATTTGGAAGGACACTACTTAGCCTATTAGCCAAGATTTTTGAAATAATCTTGTAAATTATATTACACAAAGCAATGGGTCTACAATTGCCAATCTTATCTCCATGATTACTCTTAGGAATAAGAGTAAGGAAAGTAGAATTCACTCCTTTAGGTAACATGCTTGTAAAGAAAAAATGAGTAACACCATTCACCACCTCTTGACCCACAATCCCCCAATATTTTTGAAAAAATCTTGCTGGAAAGCCATCAGGACCTGGGGCTTTGTCAGGACTAAACTGCATAACCACAGCTTTAATTTCCTCAGCAGAAATAACTTGTTCAAGACCAATACCTTCAGCTTGAGATAATCTTCTTCTAGGCTCCAAGATTATTTCTGAATGATACAACGAAGACTTTTGAAGTTGCAATTGAGATATAGGTCAAACTGGTTGATTTTAAATTTGTTACAAATAATATTTTTTAATTGCTTACATTGCACGTGCGCTTTTACTAATATTTATAAGAGTACAAAGGATACTTATGAGTCTTATGGGAAGTAAATTGGTCAATTGATGTGTGAAATATGTCTTTTGTATGGTATCGAAGTTTTGACACTAGTTGGATGCAGATATTACATGTTATATTTTTATATCCATGTGATTAAAGTAAACTTTAGAAACTGTTAGTGTAATTTACTATTAAAAGACAAAATAAAAAAAGTTATTTGTGAAAACTCATTTTGATCTTACTGAGATGCAATAATAAAAATTAGGAAAGCACCATGTTGATGATATTATAATATATAAGAAATTTCAAATTATTGTAAAACTTTTTATTAGAAATGAACAAATTTAAAACTATAGTCAAAGAGGAGTTTCATTCTATTCTTTTCTTGTCCCTTTTTCATCCATTTCATTTCATAAACTCTATCATTTGGGTAAGTAAGTTGAGAATTACTAGAGGAAAAAATAATAATAATAAAGATAAACGAAGAAATTCTAAGTCTAATAATTATTTTAATAAATTCGGACTTTTAAAGTTATGGTTGAGATAAGTCAAAATAGTTAATTTTAAATTTATTGTAAATAATATTTTTCAACCGCTTGCATCGCAGTGCACTTTTACTAACATGCATGTATAAAAATCTAAAAGATACCTTAGTCCATGCAAAAAGTCCTATTGGAGTTAAATTGGTCAATTCACGTCACAAATGTTTTTTTCATAAAATCAATGGGCATATTAGTAATTTTGCATGGTAAACTTTACCTCAATGTAATTAAAGCAAACTTTGGAATTTGTTAGCGTAATTTACTTTAAATAATAAAATACAAAAGGGCATTCAAGAAACTCATTTTGAAAAGCTCGCCATTATATGTTATAGGCTCTCTTAGGGTATTCTTATTGGACAAAGTAGTCGGGTATTTCGAAATAGATTTTTATTTTGGGCAAATGTAACTTGAATATTTTATATGATGCATAATGGATTCATGGATAAATAATGATTTATGAAGTACTCCATTTGTCTTAAAGTTTTTTTTTCCCTCGTAATAATTATAAGCAAATTTAAGAAAGACTGTGTACAAAACCCACAACCGAAAGACACAGCCCAAAGGCTAACAATTAATCAAGGGGCTTATTGAGCCCGAAAGTAATACAACCCAATGAGGGAACCCAAAAACAAACAACTGAGAAATGTGATGGGTAACTCTTTATTCTCATGGTTGAATGTTGGATCGGTAAAATTGATGGAGAGTATTTGTTTATTTATTGCTATTGATGAGACAATAGACTATCATGTATGAGATTGTGGAGGTATTTGCTATAGACAAAGTGTGAGAGTTTGTTTTTCTTCTTTTTGAAGTTTTTCTTAGTGTGATCCGGTGCGAAATAAATATGAACTATCAATGTTATTGCAGATTAAAAGAGGATGAGGAAATTTTTGATATCCAATAAAGTGATACTCAAGAAGGGATTCGATGGTGTAAAGTTAGTTGTTCGGGAAATTATTGATTGACAGAACAGTGAATTTGAATTTGATAAAAGAAAAGACTACTCTTAACCATGTTGAACTATGAGAGAGAACGTACACAACTTTTTAAAGAATCTGACGTGGATTGAACCACGTCAAGTTCGGTTTTTCATTCGGTGATAAAGTTCGGCCCTCCTATCATTTTCCAAATAAATAAGGTTCAACCAACCTCTATGTTGTTACAACTAACAGAGTTTTAACATGGAACTCAATCTGATCAATCCTTCACGCAGAGTCAGAGTTCTAAAACTGAGTCGAGAACAACTTTCGATCATCTTATTGTGAGGGGAAGATTTATTTATCTTTAATTTTTAACAATGGACACGATTTCTCATCTCCAAATGAGAGGTTAAAAGTTAAGGTCAATATTGTGAGTAGGAAAAAAAATTGAAAAAAAGGGAGAAAAAGATATATATATATATATTGTAGTTCCTTTCATTTGACTTCCATTTATCTCATGTCTACAAAGTATACCCAGTCATATAGAATCCACAAGGAGATTGTATAACCTTTTTTTAATCGATAGAACAATACTACTAGGGCCAACCCTCAGATTGATAAAATCTTGAGAGGCCTTAGGCGAATTTAAATGTGAAGCCCTTTATACACAAGTATTCACAAGCATACAAAATTTATAAGAGTGCAGAATTTTCATTAAAATAAGAAGATAAGCATATAAAATATATTAATGTTGAAAACACAATAAATAAACACATGATTTTTTAGTTTTTCTCAAATTTTACATCTGCCATCTCTCATAATAGAGTAAAAAATATATATTTTTCTAACAAATTCACTCCCCACAGGATAGATGAGCTAAAGAGTTAGAATAATATTAGACTAATTTAAACTCCAAAAAGATTTTCAAGTTTCCAAATGGGTCAAGTTTAGAACTTTCAACCCATTCTAAATTTCTGAAAGAAAAAAAAAATGTAGAATTTTGCTTTAACAAGTTTTTATCAACTTCAAATGATTTCAAACTTAGACCCAAGCATTTCCCTTTTATATCAAATCAATTATACAAGTTATATAGAACTAACTTATATTTATTCAAATTTCGTCAAAAATATATTATTTACCCGAATAATAAATGACTGCATTCAATTTCAAAGTAATTATTGATATACATAAGTATTAACACATAAAATTAGTAAATGACAGCATTTAATTTCAAAGTTAATTCCTAAAATACACATTAACATACCCATAAAGTATTAAAGGGCCGTATTCAATTTCAAATTTAATCACTAAGTTTATAAGGGCCCAAATTTTGAATGGGTTGTGAATTAGTTTAATCGAAGGCCCTAAGTATTTTTTTATTTGGGCCTATCACTCGGGGGAAGGGACAAAAGTTTTTATTTTTTTTATTTGGGCCTATCACTCATGGGAAGGGTTTTTTTTTTTTTTTTTTTTTTTGTTTGGAACCTATCACTTATGGACCCCCTAATGTTGAGGCCCTATGCGGCCTTAGTCGACTTGGGCCAGGCCAGCCCTGAGTACTACATACATGCACATTGATGCTACTTTTCAAAATAATAATAATAATAATAATCAATTAAAAATATATATATCATCAAGAACCTAAAAATATCCACCATTTGTTTTTGGCATTATATTTTTTTGGGGTAAATTTAGTGACATTATTTTCATTAAGAATTTTCCTTTTCATTTTCTTTTTTCCTTTTTTGGGTTAGTCATGCATATATTAATTAATCAAGTCAAACTCAACAATTTGTTCTTTTGTTTATGCCCTAAACAATTTGTTCTTTTGTCTATGCCCTAATTACTACATTACTAAACATTATGGGCGCTTCCTACAAAGGAAATAAAGAATATGATATATAGGGATGGACACGGTTGTGAATTAATAAGAGTGGTCAAAACCCTAACATGGTACTAGGGAAACCCTATTTTCTAGCAAATCTATAATATTTACAAACATACCTATATATATATATAAATTGTATATTTTGGAAAGAGATTGAGCGCCATGAAGCACCAATGTGGCAAGTTTTTTTTTTTTTTTTTTTTTAAAAAAATTAAAAGCAAATCACTCATGCACCCTGCCTCCCCTTTCAAAAGTAGGAGGCGGTACTGACAAGTTATATCACCACAGGACTTCTATGAAACTTATCTCACTCATTAACACGTGGAATAAGAAATAAAATATTGGAGCAAATGAGTTATAATTCAAATTTAAGGTAAATTGCAAACTAATTAACTTTGGCACCTAAAACCCTGCACTAAAAAGTTTTTGTGGATTGTATATAATCTTATCATACATGCTTGTGCGGCTAAGTATTATTTATGCTATGGTTTCCGTTTGTTGGATGGAAGAGAATGAAAAACTGACCATTTGACCGGTAAGATAAAAGTAAAGATAAATTTTTAAGTTATTTTTACCATTAAAATATTTATGAAGGGTAATGTAATAATTTAAAACTTCTATAATTAGACTACTTGTCTTCTCTTTTTTCTTTCGCTCATATTTGGTCAGATGAAAATTTGTGAAGGAGGAAGGATGACTCTTTCTTCTTATTATCCTTTCTTTTCTTGTATCATCCTACAAAAGAAATATTTTTCTTCCTTCATATTTTCCTTCCAGTCATCTTCTTTTCTTCCTACCTAGCATTATATATCGGTTAGCGGAGTCAACAAATACATAGGTAAATTTGGAAAGGTCCATTGACGGTCTGTGAAATGGATATTATGGTGCTAGCCTGAAGGGCATAGCAAATTTTGGTTTGATATATATGAGAGATGCAATGACACTTTTGAGAATGTTATTGTGTATGTTGATTCAGACTATGCTTAATGATCTTAATAGGATGAGGTTCTTGACCGGATATGTCTTTACGTACGTTTTGTGATTGTGTTAACGGAAAGAAGTAAACTTTGCAGTATACAATTGTCTTGTCTGGAATTGAGATAGAGTACATGGAAACTTAAAGGTAGTGAAAGAAGTTATATGGCTATGGGGTTTGGTTGGTGATATGAGTTTGTAGCGATGTTACCATTGTTTTTGTGACACCTAAAGCGCTACAAATCTCACTAATTAAGAATCATATGTAACATAAGAAGACCAAATACATTTGACGTTAGGTTACACTTTGTTGGAGATGTGATTGCACACAATGCTATTACATTAAGGAAGATTGCTATAAATAGCAAAAAATCCAGCTAATATGATGCCTAAGGTCATTTCTGTAGTCATGTTCAAGCATTGTCGATCTGAACTTAATTGGTTCGTATTTGCAGTTGTTAAGGGTCTTAAAAGCATATGGAGTCGGTAAAAGGAGTAATTTATTTAGTGGAATAGGGGTTTTAGGGTTTGTGTTGTTAGGTTGAATAGTGAAAATCCCAAAAAAAGTGAGAGCTAGATACAAAGAGTACGTGTGTTTGGGGGTTCGGTTTAAGAGACTTGTACATCTCTTTTCTTGTTCGGAGAGTAAAATCTCTTCACCCATATCTAAATTGATTATAAATTGAAACACATTCTTTGCGCATAGTGTGATGTGTAGTTTTACATTTTGTTTCCATTCCATATTTCTTGTATGATTTTGTGTTTTGTCATGGTTAATTTGTCACAACATTTCTAAAACATTTCTTTGAATTTGAATAAGACTGGTGGAATATAGCTAAGCATGTCACTAGTAAAATTTAGCTTGAGCAATTAAACAATTTATTCGAACAAGTATTCTCTGCCAAGACTGAGTTTGATAATTAACTTATGTGATGTTGTGGCCCGAATGTTGATCGTTTTGGCTCGGGTCACAACTTGAAAAGGGAAAAAATTTATGACTCGTTTTTGCTTACAGGTCGTGAACCCTATTTATAACTCTCTTGTAACCCGATACATAAAGGTGTTTAAGGTTTGGAGTGGGAGAATGTAAGATATTGAAAAATGCAAGAAGAGAGTGAGAGTGAGAGCAAGAGGTAGGGTTTGGGGGCTGCCACTTTTAATCTCTTGATTTTTGTATAGTGAAATCTTTCGTCACATTTTCATCGTGGACGTAAGCACAATTTGTGTTGTCGAACCATGTAAATCTTTTTGTCTTGTGTAATACTAGTTTTTGTCGTATTTTGTGATTATTTCTTAGTTTGCGGGTGTTTGTCATAATAATTTAATTAACTCTTATAGCCAATTTTAAGTTCAACTTCAATTCGTTCTCTGAGTTAGGAAAAAAAAAAATCCCGATATAAATACCAGCAAGTCCTAGAAAAAATGAGTTATGTCGTTTATTTATATACAACTTGATGCGTTACTTATATAACGAACACGACTTTTGTTTTATTAACAGACAAATTAGGTATTTTTTTTAGTCTTAATGAATCAGTTTAATCAACAAAAAAGTTATGCCATGTGTTTTTTAGCTTAATTTGTTTACATATATAACGAACTTGACTCTTATTTATCAACAAACGAATTACGAATCAGATATCTTTTTAAATCTTAATTGGTCGATCAATTATGAGCGGTCAATCGATTTGTGAATAGACACGTACGTACTCACGAGAATATGCTCATGATATAACGAATTATGTCACTTGTCTTTCAAGCTTGATTTTTTAACGCATATAACGCAGTCTACTTCGTTCACTAATGAACGAATACAAACTGAATTTTTGCCGAATCAAGCCCTAACACGAGACAAATAGGGTTATGCGTTTTCACTAATCTAGTGTTACTATTAACCCTTCTCCCAAACTTCACAAGGATTTAAGCATAAATATTAGGGTGAGCCAAAATCTTTTCCGATATTTATAAGTGTTGTATTACATCGGATAACTCACAACAACACACGTGAGCACACACATGGGTGCAATGTGATCCCTGTAATCCCATCACTATTAGGATGACGTCATCCATTCCGTCAGCCAGGTGATAACCAGTTACTTTGTGGACTTAGAAAAATGACATTAATCACATGAGACACTTTTAGTCAACACAAGTATGGCCCACAATTGCACAAATGGGACAACGAGGGACCCATACGTCAACGAATTGTCAATGGTGATACGAAGGAAAATGGGACCGTACACAACTTCTTCTAAGTGTTACCCTTTCTTTGAATTTGGTACCCCCACAAACTTAAACGCAGACGTTACATGCAATAGATTCATAAATAAAATAAAAATAAAAGAAGATGAAGAAGGAAAAAGTAAAAGAAGAGAAAGAGAGAGTGAGAAAAAGAAAAAAAAACTATGGTTATGATTATATGGCAACTGAATAACTCCACCGTACGTTTAACTTCTACACGATGCCTATTGAGCATATATGTATGTGAGTGTACATACCATTGTGTCTCTCCCCATTAATTTATTTAGAACCACCTTCCAAAAGAACAGTCTACACTCTATTTGTCTGAGCTTGAACTTCTTTACTTGTAACTGTAGAGTCGATCGAGTTCATTTCATCGTCTGAAAATGTGGGAACCTGCAAGTAGTTCTTCATGGACTTTTGAGGGTGGAAGTAGTGGTGTTGTTCCAATGGCATCATATCACAACATCACAAAGGAGATCCGTGTGCTGTTGGTCGACCACGACAAACATTGCCTTGCTACCATAGCCCAAATGCTTGAATCATGTTCATACAAAGGTAGAGGAACATCATGAGCCCAAGCCTCTCTAGCTCTCTCTCTCTCAATTTTACTTTCTTCTAGATTTTGTTTTAAAATTTTATGGATAGAACATCATCTTAGAAGCTTTATTCTCTCTCTCTCTCTCTCTCTCAATTTTACTACTTCTAGATTTTGTTTTAATATTTTATGGGTAGAACATCATCTTGGAAGTTTTACTCTCTCTCTCTCTCTCTCTCTCTCTCACACACACACACACACACACACACCCTTTTTTCTTTTCTTTTTTTTGGGTGAACTTATCGTCTTCATTTGTGTTCCAATTGTGGTCTGAGTACATGCATGTTCATTTGATCATATTTATATATATATATATATATATATCATGAAACAGCTCTATTAGGTATCTTGGTCTTTACCAATTTTCCAAAAGAGTAAGGCTAGCTCCGGAAGGAGTGGTTGCACTGTGAGTTTTTTCTCTTTTTTTTAAGCCGTTTGAATGAGAGATTTGGGTTCAGAGTCTCTCAATCAAAAAACTGCAAGGAGAGTAGTTTTTTCCTTTTAGAAAAGACCTTTTTTTTTTTTTTTTTTTCGGGCTATATCATCTATCATTGCTAGGCAAGATGCTGAAATCTAGGTCATATAAGGTACAGGGAAGTACATGCACTGATTTATGTTCTTAGGACCCATCTTGTTTTAAGGCTTTCTACATAATATCTACTGCTGCATGCAATCACTGAAAAAGTGTGCAGATACATACATATATAGCACATTTTTTTTTTTTTGAAAGGTATATATAGCACAAAGTTCTTGAAAGAAATTGATCTTCTAAAGTAAGTCAAGGTGATCTATCGATCTTATTTTTATTTGTAATTTTCTTTTTCTAAATCAGAAAGTTATGAATCTTAAACCTCTTAGATTTGAATTCTTCTTGAAAAGAAGTAGATTAACATTTTTCTTTCTTTCTTTCTTCTTGTTCTTCCTTTTTCTTTTCTTGGGATAATAGAATGATCATGTTTGATCAGTTGGTCGCTTCAACAAATTAACAACCAAATTTGATTTAAATTCAAACTAAAGTTTGTTTTGTGATATCTCCATAGAAGTACTAATTTGTGTAAATCTATAGGATTTTTCTTTTTCTTTCTTTGTTTTTTTTTTTTTGTAATGTAAATTTTTTTCTATAAAGGAATTCTTCATTTTAAGAAAAAAATTGAAAACTGTTCCAAACTTTTTTGACTGGTGCAACTTGAAGAATTTGTATCATTTATATATTTAAAATTGTTTTTCTTGCACCATTTTCTTGTTAATTTATTTTCTTTCCTCTATTAGATTTTGTGATTTATGTGGACAATGTAAAATTTTAATTTATTTTTAATTATTTCTCCCCTGTATATATAACATGGTAGGAGTATCTGAACAAATTTGATATACAACATTAGCCTAATTCTTTATTATCTTAATTTTCTGGACCAAGTAGTTTCTAAGGAAATCCAACATTTTTTGTGTAAATTATTTCTAGGGTAACCATTTCACTCGCAACCATAATAAATCGAATAATATATATATATATATATATATATTTTCTGGCAATCATTTCAAGAACAATCAACCAGTGATCCTTTATTTATTTATTCATTTATTTTTCACCTTTTAGGGCTTCCTTTACATACAGTCAAACTTTTCATGATTTTCAGGTTTCAGTTTCTTAATTATAATTTATTTTTTCCCTAATCTGGGGTCTTGCAGTAACAGCAGTTGAACACGCGGTGGCTGCTTTTTTAATGCTTACAGAAAGAAAAGAGCTTTTTGACCTTGTGCTTGCAGAGATACATTTACCTGACATAGATGGATTTGCGCTTATCCATGAGGCAGTTAAAATGGAAGTGCCAGCAATATGTGAGTGTCGCGTAAAAGTCTCAGTTCTTCTGCTACATATTTTTCTTCCCAACACTAATTGCCTACTTAAAATCTTAAAAATGTCTAATGAATTTCTTCCTTTTCCAATGTATCCATTTTTTTACATATATGTTCTCAAATCAAGTAATGTCCCCGGATGAAAATGCTATGATGGCAAGGATGGCACTAGAAAATGGAGCATGTTTCTTCCTCAAAAAGCCGATACATATGGAAGTTCTGAAAAACCTCTGGCAACATGTGATGAGAGACAGGATAGTTAATAAGTTCAATAGGTCTGGAATATCCAAGGGAAGTGTCATTGGAGATTACAATGAAACTGAAACCAGCTACTTAAAGAACAAAGACGAGTTGAAGAAAAAAGTGATGAGCAGAAAATCTACAAATAGAAATGAAGAAGGCAAGAGTAAGACTAAGATTAGAGCTGGAAAGAAGCCTTGCACTGAATGGACAGATGAACTCCACGCAAAATTCATGACTGCTGTCAATGAGCTCGGGGAAGGAAGTATATCCCTTTTACTTGCATTTTAATTATAAAAATATTTTTCTTTTTCTTTTTTCTTTTCGGGTTTGTGGTACATATTGAAGTTTATACATGTTTCTATATATTACCTGCAAGTAGGGTGTTATCCTAAGGAGATACTCCATCTAATGAATGTACCAGGTCTCACGCGAATGCAAGTTGCAAGTCATCTTCAGGTTTGTTTCCAGCTCTTTCTTCTTCTTTTTTCAGTAATTTTTCCAGTTCTTTTAATATATGGTACGAACTCAAAATTCCGGTAAATGAGTGAAGTCAAAATCTATTATGTTAATGCTGAAATAGCTGATCGTACGTGTTGCTGGCAGTTTCTACCAAAGATATGCATAAATGATTGAGGTGATATTGTATTTTCACTTTAGACTTGATGTTAACTATCCTGTATGGATAGCAATATATATCGAGCAAAAATTAGCCTATATGATTAGCAGGATGTTGTATCTTTAATTTGTACCTGTCCTGTACTGCTGCTGCTTTCTTTTTCTTTTTCTTCTTCGTTTTTTTTTTTTTCCCCTGTAATTAACTTTTGTTGTTGCTGCTGCTTCTTGCACTACTACATCAAATTGCTATGTAAGTTATATAATTTAAACTTTGATGGATATACTTCAAAATCATATACAAGTTATGGCATGCTTTAAAAGAATTTTCAAACCCTAGGTCCACTACTTTAAGCTGGTTTATATTTTCAAAAACAAAATATTGATGTCAATATATTTTCCATCATAGTCTAAAAATTTAGTTCATATAATCAAATCAAATTAAGAATTCACATGTAATAGATAACGAACAAAATAACATACTTCACTTAAATCTAAGATAGCAACAAAATTCCATAACAACATGTTTCATTCTAAAATATAATTAAAATAATAAATGTATGCATTAATATTTTTGTTAGTAATTCTTTTTAATAATAACAGTCTCTCAAATTTACTAAAATAATAAATAAATAAGCCACCAAGTCCATGAGGCCCCCGCCGGTGCAAGTTTGCTAAAATAGTCCAAAGACTAATTAACCTCTCTAATTAGTTCTTGGCTAATCAAGTAATAATCTAATACTATCAAATATAAATTAATTGATATCAAATTTCTTTGTAAGTTAATGGCTAAATGCTTGCATATATTATAAAAGCTTATTCTGACAGAGAATGTGTGACTTGTGTATTTATACCATCTAGATTGTGTAGCTGGTAGTTTCTACCAAAGATGCAAATACATGATTGGTGTGATACTGTTTTATTGCTTTAAACTTAAGGTTTACAATCATGTATGGATGACAATATAGGGCAACAATTCGCCTATATAATTAGCAGGATGTGGTACATTTAATTTATAACTTTCCTGTACTACTGTTGTTGATATTTTTTATTTCCAGTAATAAATGTTGTTGTTGTTGTTATATAATTTGCATTAGCATGGATACTTCAAAATCATATACAATTTAGGCTATGCTCTAAAAGATTTTTCAAACCCTAGGTTCACTACTTTCAGCTGGTTTCAATTACAGCATCAGATGATTAAACCTACACACTTCTTTAAATTTTAAAAAAGTTGCTAAGATTGACACATGTTCTTTACAATAGATGGTAATTAATAACATAAAATGCTGATTAACTCCAAGGCACATAGGACTTGAGTGAAAATTTTATTAAATCCGTATGACTAAATTTATGTGTTTTGTGATCGATCAACATTTTCCCTTACTACCAAAGGGCCTTTGGTCCAATAGTATAACCTCCCCATCTTCAAAGAAGGGGAGGGGTTCGAGCCCCGCATGGACAATAAAAGTGTGTGTGTTTGCTTTACCATCCTAAAAAAATAATAATAATAAATAAAAAACCATTTTCCCTTACTCATATATTGGTCTTCTCCAGAAATGCCGTAATGACAATTGGCGTGCCCCAGAGGCACGAAAACCAGCTTCATCTTCGAATGATTTGGATAATGATCCACAATCCAATCTAGCTCCAAGGAGGTTCGGTTCAATGCCTCGCGTAATAAAATGCTCTTCCAGTTCTCAGTCTCATCTCCAAGAAAGCAGTGAAAACTATTCTGGTCCAGAAATGTACTCTCCATTGTGCAACAACTTCTCTGGAACCATGAATGAGGAGGATCCGACGCAACTAATCAATCCACAAACTGAAGTGGTACCTGAATGCTTCGGAAACAATATGGTCTCACCTAATTATTCTGGAATGCAAAGTATGGAACAAGAAGGAGAATTTGGGAGACTAGCTGATCATCTTCCCACCAAGGATTACACACAAAATGCACTTGAGGTTCCTGCTAGTCTTGATGATGTAAATGAAATATCAAGTGAGAATGGGCACGCGAAATTGGCTTTCCTGTCAAACATGACTTCTCAACAAAATCCTGAACAAATTTTCTCAGAAGCCAACCATGCAACACTTGGGCCAGGTTCTCATACTACTGCACCAAACCAGAACCAGTTCTCAGATGACTTCTTTGATTTTCTTCCAGAAATGAATGATCCCCAGAATTGCTCCCACCTACTGGAAGATTATAACCAAAGTTCACAACAGTACTCCTTTGATTTCAACCAATTCTATTGAGCAGGTTAACCCTTCCCCCAAGCAACTTTTATGAATGTATTACCCTCTTTTAGATTTACTTATTAAGAGCTTTAATTTGATGAGTATAATGATGTAGTTTTCTGTGTTTTTTGTATATGATAGCATATGAGGCGCTCAACGTAGACATCAAGAAGACATGTGGAGGTGAAGGACCTCAAATTTTGTAATTGCACCATGTCATTCTGTGTGTACTGAGAGTAGAACTTCTAACTCCGCAACTATATATAAATAGTCAAAATATGTATTAAGTGACTCAATATATATATTTTGAGCCTAGTACTGAACCTTGATAAACAGTGCTTTTGAGTATCGACTGTTAATAACAAATATCTAGTTTATGAAGGTAAGTTTCTTTGCTTATCATGCAAAATTGAATGTGGTTAATTGTTTTTCTATATGCATAAAAGTTCGAGATATATATGAATCCATCAATATGGGATGGGAACATTAATTTGAGAAAACTGGATTAACCAAAACAGGTAAAAGTATGCATGGATTGGTTTTAGGCTTTCATGAAGAAACATACTTTCATCTCTTTCTCGTTCAAACTCATAGATGGTTGCCTTTACCTCCATGCATGTACTCATTTAATTAGAATGATGTCTTTTGAAGGTTATGTTTATATAAATAATTAGCAAGTTTAATTTCATTGGAAAGTCTTAGCATGCCTTTGTATTGCACAATTGAGCAGCCCCCTCACTTATTGAAACAAATAGTATCGGGTGAATCAGTGTGAAACTAGTACAAAACTAGTTGGATGGGGCTTCTTAGGCAGGTGAAACAAGAGAGGAGGAGATAGCTTGCATAGTGCATTAATGGCACTAAAAATGGTTAATGGACATGCAGCAACATAAAGAAAGGAACTTAATTGGGTGAAGATGATGCACCCAACCTTTGTCCACTACTCGAATTTTGACGCAAACAGATTCAGATGAGAATATTGTGTTAGGATTCTCTCAAATACCAATTGTAATTACATTTCTATTTTAGAGTTATATTGTATTAAGTAATCCTGGTCCAATGAAGAATGGTGTGTTTGGTCTCAATAATCAGATACGTGGTTGAAGGATGAGAGTTATGAGAAGGAGAGACGTAGCCATACTCGTGAGCGAGTATGTTGATAGGTAGAGGTGAGTTACAGGTTTGATAGAGTCAACACTGATGGCGTGAGGAGTGTCATGGAGTGATACACGGGGAAAAACTTTGAGGTAAAAGTTTGTGCACACAGTCTTGTGTTAAAAAATTCTCTAGTAATATCTCTGCATGGTGAATTTCTTCTCATGGGTCAACCATGTAAAATTGTCAAGATTTCTTTGTGTTACGTTTTTCTTTCCCAAGAAGAATCGGAACCATGTTTAAGTCTTGGGAGCCTTTTAAAAAAAAAAAGCACATGGAATCTCAACAAGGTGCAACAAGTTCAGTTGTAGGTAGAGCCAATCGTCACGATGATTAGAAAATCGTGATGGGTTACATGATATATAGCCCGAGTTGTCAAGAGCCTTGGAGGTATGACAAATCAAGTAGTGTACGTATGATACAGACAATCAGTGTTTTGTAGGAGGATTGTCAAGATCGAAGTTGCAGAGAATTGTCCAGATCAATGCTATTTCTATTTTAGAGTTATATTGTATTAGGTAATTACTGTTTAGACAGAGTGTGGGCTCTGAATAATTATAATCCTTATCCAACAAGAAATGGTATGTTTGGGCTCTTAAAATAGATACGTGGTTGAAGGTTGGGAGTTATGAGAATGAGAAATGCAGCCGCAAGTTGGAGTATCATGATAAGTAGAGGTGAGTTACAGGTTTGGTGGACTGAACACTGCAGTGAGTGCGAAAGGAGTGTTGTCGAGTGAGTTTGTGTGCGTACATGATAGTGTTGGAAATTTTTTACTATTGTAATATCTTTATGTATATTTCTTATTTATGGATGTAGCTCATATTTTAGGTGAACCATCGTGATTTCTTTAAATTTTGTTTTTGTTTCTCAAGTAATTTGGTTCGGTAAATTATGAGCCTTCTGCTAGCCCTCAAAAAAATAAAAAATAAAAAAATATATTCGTTGAATACCTCTTAAAAGAAACAGTGCTAGCAGCGATTCAAATTGGAAACAACAGTAACAGAATCAATAGTAGTTGACATTTTGCACAACGATGAATGCATGTGGAAAATTATTTAAACATACTAAGAACGTAAAAAAATTCAAGAACTTTCGTTGACATGCTAAAAGGTGTTTGGAAATTAATATCTGAGTAGCTTGAGAAAGAATTGCCACAAGAAAAATTTTGGATTGAAAGGATTAATATTATAAATATTTTAAACTTTCCTAGAAATGAACACAGGTTTCCCTATATTTTGCTTCCATTCACTTTCCATACCATACCTGATACCCCCACTGATTCCTTGCGAATGGATATTTTTGGTGAATATTGAATTATTTTCATATATGATTGTTGTACCTGAATTTCAATGCAGTCCTAGGGTTTCTTAGTTCTGTCACTTCTGTGCAACTTACATTTAAGGGAAGTAATTAAAGTTTGACATTAATAATTAGTCTTTTTTTTTTTTTTTTTGAAAGGTAATTATTAGTATTATTGTATTTTTTTTTCCCCGGTAAATCAATATGTTATATAAAACCAAACGATCCGTACAAGAAGTGAAGGCAAGCTCCAGAGAAGCCCAAATGCAACAAAAGATCAGGCCCAGGACCAGCCCGAACAGAAAAACAAAGCCCACCCAAACAAAGACTGCTGAACCAACTACATTTTGTTGCTGTTGTTGTTCTCATGGCCCTAACAAGATCATCAATAAAGCCCGTGAAGTCAAAGGAGGGCCGCCCCTGACTTATGTCCAAAAAACAGAAAAACATATCATACAACAAGATAAGCAGTCAGTCCATTTCAAACAAACCCAATGGCCCAATCAACCAATTAACTACCAACTATCAAAGCCCAAGGCGGGAACTATCAACAAACAGAGAGTGCAGGAAGGTGCAGGGCAAAGATGATGGCAAGGGTGGGTATGGTGCTCAAGAGAAGGTGAAGAAAGGGTTAGCGTGAGCCATATCATAGAAGGAACTTGGGAGATTCCACTCCTTGGCGATGGTCTCTGCATATGGGCATTTACCTTGCTTGATAGAAAACAATGGAAAGCACGCTGTATCAATTACAGTATTCAATTTTTGGAGAGGATGGATGGATTTGTTTTTAAACATTTTCTTATTCCTTTTTATCCAAATGTGATAAGCATAGCTTGCAGATTAGTATTCTGCTTGATTTTCCAATTGGAAGACGCCCAAATCAGGAAATATTCCCAGGAATTAGGGTTCATATAGAATCCACATTTGTTTTGCACACCATTCCACACCATTTTTGAGTATTTGCACTGATGGAAAATGTGTTCATGAGACTCCGTCACACAAAGGCATAAGATACACACATTTGGTTGAATTGTGTATTAAGAGGGCTTGCTTATCTTTAAGGAGCTTTTCTTGTATAGCCAGCAATAGACAAAAACAGTGTTTAGGTATAGCATTACTGAACCATACCAATTTGTGCCAACTTAGTGTTGGGTAAAGGCTGTGAGATGGCTTGAAGGGTATGTCTAAGAGAATAAGTTTTTATTAGTCAATCTTCACACCAACTTAAACAAGGGCTATACAGTGCTTTAAAAAGGAGCTGTTACTTCAAATGTTTTAGGTAAAGTGGTAAATATATTAAGAGACAATGTACATGAGGATGGGAAAAACCCATAGAAGCCTTGAGCCCAACAAAAACAAGGGCAAGAGAGGCAGAAAAAGCCAGATAAAACCAGAAACAACTGAAAAGAAAGGGACTAACCCCACCCACCACAAGAAACTGAAACAATCAATAGCCTATAATAGAATAGACAGTCAGCAAATCAGGCAGCCAAAGCAGAATACTAAAGCAAAAAGCCAGCAATCAGAAACTGAGAAACAAAAGCCTAAGCCAAGCTAGGCAGTCATCAATCTGGGATGTGAGAGGCAGCAACTTAAGTCCTTATGCATGAACTTGGAAGCTTCCATGAAGCAACAATGAGCCTTGCAGAGAGGCAATTCTTCAATTTGACATACAGATTCTTCTTCAATTATACTATTTCTTTCACTCTATATGGCATAAACACAGGCTGCAAGAACAAGCTTGTTGAATGTTGATGACTGATTGTGCGCTTTTGGAGATAGATGACCAGGAACTGTTGCTTCAAAAATTTATCACCAGATCATACAAGTATCTACTTGAAACTCAGACCACATACACAACAATATTAGTAACACAACCTAGTAGAAGGAAATAAGTCTAGTCAGTCTTTACTTGTCTGTTTGGTTGTGCTATGTTCTGCAATATTCATACAGAATTGAGCTTTCACCTCTCCTCTTTCGCAGATGAGGGGAACTAAATTTAACCCTTCTTGTGTTTTAAACCTCTCTCAATCATATCAGAGGAAATCATGTTTGTCTAATTTGGGTGCTACTCTTTTTTTTTATTTTGGGATAATGATACTGTAGATTTCCTAAATAACAGGAAACTCCCCTCTAGTTTCAAATATAACATCGACCTCCCCACTAGTTTAGGTCTGAGTAACACTGACCTCCACTATAATAAATCTGACACTCGTCTGCTGATGTCATGCTAAAAAATTTCCTAAAACCTGAGAATTCCCTTAAAAACTTGAAAATGCTATTTTGTCCACCATGTCAACATTTTTATTGATATGGCATCTTGCCAATCATACTTTTCGAAATAACTTAACACAATTTTTTTTTTTAGAAGCTGCTCAAGATCCTAATACTGATGACTTGTATTTTCAGTTAGATCAGTTAATATGCCTACTCCTACTGCATCAAAGAAGATAAATACAAACTGGATAGTGCAGAATATTGTTTCTGAGTGAAATAAAATAGTATCATTCTTTGGCAACCTATTCTGAAAAACTTGTTATTATATATGGATGTAGCTTTAAGTTTAGACATCCATTGTAGATGTACAACCTAAGTACCTCAAGGCTGAATTTAATCAAGGGTCTAAAGCATCAAAACGATATCCAGACTAACAAGGATAAAATAACCAAAGCAGATCGACTCAACCAAGAAAATAACACAACCATACAACGCCAATTTGTAACCAGTTTAGCTCAAGGGGTTCTATTGAATTATATACAATCAACCCTACTAATGCTTTTGATCTTCTTGGTACCATCCAAAATCGTGCAAAATACTGAGTTAAGGAAGATTCAAGTTTGACCATGTAAAGAACCCAATCATAAACCACAAACATTTTTCGGTTTTAAGACATAACTGCAAAATCAGTGGTTCTTGAGAGTTCCCATTGCTTCCAGATCGGGGGTTAAATCTTGTGAACTGGACTGTCCAGCTTCTTTGACGTACTCATGTCGCCCATACACAGTTTCCATCTCTGCTGTTGAGGGCTGAACAACATTTTCTGCTAACATTCTGAAGTAAGCATGAGGTGCCCACCCTGCTTTATAGAGAGAGAAACAAATAAACATATATACATCACTGAAATTAATCAAATAAATAAAGGTGAGTTCATAGAGAGGGAATGTACAAGCAGCCAAAGTCATTCTCTCAAATAGCAACTCCTATGGTATTTTCTAGTAACTAGTTTCACAAAACTAGTGAATTTTCACTGCATTACATTGCAGAGATAATTGTATAATACAAAGGCGTACAATCTGCTCAATTACCTGTTAAGTTGAAGTACTGCTAAAATATTATTATCCTAATCTTTCTACTACTCTGTTTTATATATAAATAGTTGACTATCTCATAAAACTAAGAGACATAAGAGAGAGATTCATAGAGCATCATTGTGGGTTTTAAGTGCATATAGAGATTATTCTTATTCATCATTCTTCGTTAAAATTGGTGAGTGATATACTAGTGTTGACATCTTACTGATGTTGAGCTAAATTGGAGTTCAACACTAACTACACAATCAATCGAGATTGACTAGATGACTGGTGTGGAGATTAAAGAGCTATTGCGATTGTGGTGGATCAGTTTCTGTTAAGAGGTAACTAGGAGTTCTGGAATACTTGAATTGTTAACCTAGTGCAATTTCTCTTTCATGTAGATATAGTGGATTTGATCTGACTTGACTTGGTCCTGTAGTCACTGGTTTTTCCCTTTGGGGGTTTCCACGTAGAAGATCTCATGTCCAATGTGCTTCCCATTAATTACTTTGGTTTATACTACTTATTATTGGCTGTTTGATGATATCGGCATGATGAATTTGTTGATTTTTTATATATTGTGTTAGTTTAACTTCTGCTTCATTTATTGGTAATTTAGTTGAAATTTTAGAAGTAGTTAAAATTAAGACAGCCATCAAGGCCTATTAACCCCCCTCTAGGTTTCGACATGGACCTTGCACATACTCCCCACCCCATCAGAACCATTTTCATTTTCTATGATTTTTTCTTATTTAAACACTTGATTTCTTATTTCCCATGATTTTACCAAGTGATTGATGCTTCCAAAATTTTCAACTCTCACAATGAACGTGCAGCTTGTTCATTTCTATGATTTTTTTCTTATTTAAACACTTGGAATTTTTTTTGTTATTTCCCATGATTTTACCAAGTGATTGATGCTTCCACAATTTTCATCTCTCACAATGAACATGCAGCTTCTTCAGTCTATAGTACTTGAATGTTACAACTACAGTCAATACAACGATTTGCTTCCCTCTAAGACTAGGAAGAAAATTTCCATCTAAACAAGCTTCATAATACCTCAAAATCAAATGCTCAAACCATATTAAACTCGCCCTAACTAATAATGTATTTAACTGTAGGTTTGGCTCTTAAATCATTTAAAGATGTAAATGATAAAAGAAGTTAAAAAAAAAAAAGTAATAACATAACAAACCAAAATATGAGAATGTAACTAAAATCGTCAAGTATTTATGTATCTTGCTTACATTGGTACTGAAAATGTAAAACTTATCAGAAAATCAACTAAATAATTTAAACGAAGAAATTGCCACCACTTGAAAGTTTCTATTCTGAAGATTGTTAGAGCAGTTATTAGCCTTGAAATTTTTAGCTTTAAGCAATTTAGATAGGTGACAATATAACTTAAATCGGACCACAATTTAAGAAGTTCAGCGCCACTTGGGCAATTATTTTACTGTTACAGATAGTAACTTAAACTAGTTAAAATTATATATGTACAGACATACCATTCATATCATGTGGGAACGGAAAGAACTGCAAGTAGCATAATGAAGAAACTACTGTTCCTGTATCAAATAAACGTTATATATATCAGAAGCGTATTTATTTTTTTTTCATTCATGGGCAAATGAATTAGACTACAAAGAAATCATCTTTTATTCATGTTAGATGAACAAACCTAAAAGGCCTCCAGCAAATACATCGGTCCAATGATGCCAATAGTCATCCACTCGAGAAACCCCTATAAGTGCAGCGAAAAGATAAGGAACCAGAACAATACAAAGTTTTGCAATGTGGCCCCTACGATCAAACACCTTAATTTTCCCGGATAAATACCATGCAAGGAAACCAAGACCTGCGAAGGACCCTGCATGTTGAAAACCAAAACCCCGTTAAGCCCATTTATGTTTAAGGATCCCAACTGCAGCTGAAACATGAGCTACACATACTAATTTCCTATCAATTGTAATTAACCTCTGGGGATGATTACAGAAATATTTATCCCAAAAACACTAACTGAATATCTTCTTAAATTTTGGACGAAATTTTTTAATGGACAAAGCAATGCTACACTGGTAGAAGATGTGCAGAGAATCTATAAGGCCTCGTGAACTTAAACAAGGACAATTTTTTAGGAAATATTAATGATAGTTGGCATTTCTAGCAAGAATATTTTGACATGCCTTTGGGGGACCAAATACATTGAAAACATATAGAATTTTGCTGTACTGAACAGTTGTGAAGAAACCTAGTCCTCAAAATAATGTATAAGTAACTGGCATAAATGGATGAGACTCATATGCAACAACACCTTTGTCTTTAGTTGACATGCTTAATTAACCATCGAGAGTTGTAGTTCAATAAAACATAATCACCAGATGCTATGTTTGACTTACATGAAGTATGCCCACTTGGGAAACTTTTGTGTCCTTCCTTTATAATCTTTTTCAATCCATGGCACATAACATTCTTCGTAATGGGATCAAACACCTGAAAATGTAAAGTAATACCTCACTTTAGGCAAGCAAGAAGCTGGTGTAAGCATGAGGCATTAGCTTACTAAAATTAATTGGAGTAGGACTAGATTGAACGGATTATTGATGACATATGAGAACAAGAACACACCCCTTTTCCATCTGGGAAACATCGCCAAAAGAAGTTTGGTCTTGGTCGCCCAACAGCATCTTTGATTGAATCTGTTATAACTCCAGTTACTAGAACAGAAAATAGAAGGCCTGTGCTTGCACAAGAACATGTGTCAGTATCAAACCATGACAGTTGAACAGCCACACTAGTTTAACATAAAAAATAAAATAAAAACACACACACACACACACAAAAGAATTACCCAGTATAGCATGGTGCAGATCATAAATATCCCTTCGGTGAAGATAATACACCATGAATATTACACAAGGCAGCAATACTGCATAGATCTGTTACTTGAAACAGACAAATTAAAACATTGAAAATTAACAAATTTTTAGCAACAGAAGTGCAATAAAAGTCAATATGACTAATCACAATAAAGTAGACCATACGGGAACAGCCCAAAAAGGTACAGTATCCTCTTTGAATGGGTACTTCAGGTCTGTCATCATCTCCTCTCCCACAAAGCGATGAAAAGGTTCAATCATATTTAAACCGAAATCAATCAGCACAAGAAGCAGAAGAATGAGCCAGTCATGCTTATGCACTGTTAGAACCTTGGTTCCATGGGATTTTATTGTGTGCTGAGCTCTCGACTGAGTCTCCGTCATTCTCACCAATAAATCTACAAAAAGAAAATTAAGGTCTTATATGAAAACAATTGTGGAGCATCAGATGACAATGTCAGCGCCTTCACATATTTTTTTTTTTAATTTTTTTTCCAGTGATGAATGAAACACATTCCTCCCTAAACATACTTATACATGATTATGCAATCGCTATATTACTTTCGCTCCATCAACTACATGGTACAATTGATGCTCTGAAACCAGATTCAAGTTTCAATTACAAAGATGCATTCAGCAAAGAATTTACTTTAGGACCGACAACATTTGACTTTAGAGTTTAGACTTCTTTTTTTTCTTTTCAATTAATAATATGTTTCAACTTTGTTACCCAACCCCTCCTCTCAGATGTGATGCCACCAATGTATCACGTGCAGTGACACCGGGACATTCAATTCAAAGTATTGTATAGTTTATCATTCATGAACACCTATTGAATTACAGAAGTAACACATCCCCCTGTTCAACACTCTCTCCCTATTATTAGTACAGAAAATTTTCACAATTTGGGAAAATTTTCACTCTATGTGTCTATTAGAAACACTAAAAGAACCATAATAACTGAATGAGTAATCCCAGAGAGGATGAGGATGACAACACAGACAAATTTTGCCAAAATGGCCACAAATCATTGATCGCTATTTATTCAATTTCTACCATAGAATTACCTCAATTACAACCATTTTACATTAAGGAATAAATATTTCCATTTTTTATTTTTTAGTGAAGTGAACCATTTCCAACCAAACAGCATTTTGATGTATGGCTACAGCGTAAACCCTTGATATCGCAAATCATGTATATTGGTCAAACCAAGACTTGAACTCGAGATCTCAATGCAGTAACTTTGAGACACTACCCAGGTTATAACTACTTCCATATTGCCACCACCATTCATTAACTAAGCTAAGAACTAATTGTGCAGCAGTTGAAACTTTGATGCCAAGCCACAAAATTGAACCATAAGAATGATACATAACTACAAATGAACAAATATATTACCATGATCTATGAGTAAGAAAAAAAAAGTATCCTATCATTCCTATGTGCATGAAAATGAAAGAAAATCCATCATCTCACAAAACTAGGCTTAGAGAACTACTCTCACTTAACAAAATAAATAAATAAATATCGGGGAACATAACTATGCAAGTTTGCAACTATGACCTACCCCAACTCCACTTAAGAATCTAACCCATTTTATTGTTTGAGGATACATATATTTTTTCTTTTTATTTATTTAATTTATCGAAAAGGAAAAGATACATTAATAAGGTCCAGAACATGCTCTCTGGCTAAAGCAACTCTAGATAGGAGAGGGATAATCCTAACAATAAAAAATCAGAGGCTCTGATTATCTATCACAATAAGAACATAAAGCCAGCCCAATGTGATCACTAAATGCATAAAAGGCAAGTCACATTTATTCAAGAAAAAACATATAAATTTAGGGTTTCTCCTGCTTATTCCAGTAAATTCATAAAACCTAGGTTACATAATTCTTACTTGCAATATACACGAAATTATCTTTATGTAATTATGCATGTATGTAATTACATCTATATGAACTGAGAAAATCATCCATGACAGAATTGATTCGGAACCCAATAGACAAAATTGCATTCAGAAGAGAGAGAAAACGAAATTGTACCTCTAAAATTTGTAAGATTGAATGAAACATCTATATATATAATGTGAATGTGTTCAAATATATGTATTTTCTATATGTAGAGAGAGAAGAAATCATACCCTTTTGAGGAAAAGAATGGTGAGAAGAGAACTCGAAGAGAGAAAGAGATAGATAACAGATGTTTTTATGCAACGGTTTGAAGTTTTTGAACTACAGGTTCGGTTGGACGATAGAAGCGCGCGGCCAGCTAGACAATCTATAAACGGCTCATTATATAATTAATTGTTTTCAATATGTATTACTTATTGGTTATTACAGAGTACCATATATATATATATAATTAATTAATTAATTGCACATGTGGATATGTACGTTTCATTTCAGGATAATGAAAATAAAAATAAATAATCTCTGCTCTTCATGCCTTCATGGCAGGTCTAACTTGAGTGAGTCAATCTAACTTGATCCTAATTTTCACCTATTTGATAAATCAATTTTTAAAATTAGAATTTCAAATTGAATTTCAATTGAAATTTTTTAAGTGGAATTTAATTTGGTTAGCCTCGCAGTTCGAAGTTCGAACCCAACTCTGAATTGGATACAGTTTGACTTCAATTGTAACTCAATTACATATACATATACATAATAGTTGAATATAATATAACATATTGTTGGAAATAACCTGTTTTTGTGTTTCTTCTTTTTTGAAACCTAAATTTCTTGAATATTAATTCTTCAAAATATTAATATTTTAAGAGTTTATTTCATATTTTTTTATGTTTATATTTTGTTTTTAGAATATTTTATGCGTAGAGCAATCCGAGGTCAAGTGAACCTGATTTTTAGCTTAAATTTTTCTAATGATCTCAATTCAAAAAAATATTAAAAACAATTTATACACATGTTGAAAGTCAGGTTGAATTCTTCATGGGACTATACTCCAGAATTTGCTTCGATCTTAACTTAATTGGGTGGGAGAGAGAGGAGAGAGAAGGACATTTATATGAATTGATATATATATAAATTGAAACTACGTTATTAAACCCAAATTGAAAATTGTCGACCTTTTCTTTCATTTCTTTTCAATCAAACACCGGACAGTTTTCAATTTTCTCAAATTTTTCATTCAATACCATATGCATGCTGCACAACACTAGGCAGTTCACAATTTTCGAATTAATAGGAAGGAAGCTTAATCGATTCAAAAATTGTAATAGAAAAACAAATATTTGTGATAATTTTTTTGATGTTTTCTACTCGGTAATTTTGTATTTTTATGTATGAAGATAATCAATTCGTGTGTAAATCTCTATATCTCCGAACTCAAACTATGAAAGAAAGTATCAACAATAATTAATTTGATTGTAGGATTAAGTGCCAAAAAAAAATCCCGATATATAGAGTTTGTGTAAAAGTGGCCCCTACTTTTTGAAAATGTGCATTTCAGTTCGTAAAATTCAAAAAATGTGCAAATAAGTCCCTCTAGTCATTTTTTTTTTTTTTTTTTTTTTTTTTTTTTTTTTTTTGTCAAAATTGACATAAAATAAATTCAAAAACCCAATTTTGCCCTTTGGTTAAGTGCAAAAAAACCCCATCTACTATCGATATAGTGCAAAACAACCCATGTGTGGTATAAAACCTCCTTATACTATTAATTTGGTGCAATTACCCCATATTCGCATAAAAAAGACATTAATACCCTCTCCAATATAAATGAAATAATATTAAAAAAATTAGGCAATATAAAAAATTCATGCTAAACAAATATATAATATAACCACTACTAATTTTCATCTAACCAGACCATGCCTAAAAATTTCAAAAATCCATTAACTTTAAGACCATTAACTTTTATTTTTGAATTTTTTTTGCACATAAATTTTATACTAATAGTTAAAAAATTCAATATTATCCAATTAAAATCATTAACTTTAAAATAAATATATTTAAGATATTCGTAATGACAAAACAGTAAAAAATTAATTACTAATGAATTCTGAACTAAATTAAAAATATATTAAAAAATAGAACTTTATTCCTCTTGATTATTACATTAAAGTGAATTTTTTTCTTCCTTTTTTTTTTTTTACCCACTGTAAAGTTAAACTAACTGATAATTTTTTAACAAATAATGCCTTTGGTTTATAAAATAATTATGATAAATTTCAAGGATGATCATTATTCTTTATTTTTTAAAATTACAATCTTTGTAATTTCAAAAGAGCAGTGCTATACTGCCCGACCATTGTTTACCCGACCCCCACCGACTGTCCTACGTGGCCGTCCACGTGTTAATTTTTTTTTTTTTTTTTTGGGTTGAACCGGATGCCCCGTCTCTCTCCCTCCTCTCTTTTTCTCTCTAACAATCGGTGACCAACCTTTCTGGTGAACATTCCGTGACCACCGGTGAACCATCTTCTCCGTCAAAACTATCTTTCTCTCTCCAGTAAACTCTCTCTCTCTCTCTCTAAAAACCAGTGAGACCCATTTCCATTGTCAGAAAAAATATATATATATTCATACCCATTTAGTTTCTCAAACCCTTAATGAAATTGGGGGTAATCGATCTCCATCTATAAATCCAAAGAGCTCAATCCATCACCCTCCATGGCCTCCACCTTAATCTCACCTCAACAAACCAACCAAAAACAAACCCATTGAGGCAAGCATATATATATATATATATATATATCAATACAGGGATTTATAATTACCGAAAAAAATATAGAGATTTGTTGTGTGTGTATATTATCATGGAGATAGAGTGAGTAAAGAGAGGAGTTTTGGTAATATTGCTAATGGGTCTTTTGGGTTCTGATTTGGTTTTCAAGGTCACATTCATGATACAGAGAAAACACTGATGGTGGTGGAGTAGGACAGAAAAGAGGAGGCTGCTTAGCTAAAGGCTGAAGCCGAAGGTGAGGACATAGGCCTTGAAAGTCAGAGTGGATGAAATTCAAGCTCAAAAGCAAAGAGGAAATCCAAATATAACAAGTGTGCTGTGAGGGATCAGTACTCTAAGATGTGAAGGGAACCGGTGTCTCACCAAAACTACATGCTCTCGAAACCGGTCCGACTGTTCATCTTGCTCAATTGATGGGTATCGAGATGCTCTCCTTCCTCCAAGAACCTAACAAACAACTCAACTAAAGCTCTGCTACAGAGTTTTTTTTATTTATAAGTAAAGCTCTGCTACAGAGTTGTCTCTCTATCTGCATCACTTCTTCCTGCCGATGGGGTAGGCGGTGGTGACGGTAGTGAGTGACTCGACGGGTGGTCGCTTAAAATGGTGGCTACGGCCGATAGGTGCAACCGGTGAGACTGGAGAGGTATTGTGCAGTCGCCGGTGAAAGAGATAGATGAGAGAGTAGAACTGAGTCGAATAAAGGGTGTGGGGACTGTATGCCAGATGGACCAATCTAATATTGACATGTACTGTCGGTTTGTAGTCGGGTGAAATTAGTCGTCAAAATTAACATTTTCCATTTCAAAATTGTTTGCATTTGCTCGCTTTACGTTTTCAGGGGACCCAAAAGGGTATTGTGGGTCTTACTTTCTTCAACTCAAGGACAATGAAACTACTTTTTCGGTATAGACATTCATCGACCTGGTCTAATAAGGATTCTTTTAAAAGGAAATTATGGTATTGTGTGTGTGTGTGTATAGACTATATAATGTAATATATGTTTTTTCAAATGAGGAAAAAATGTCATCTCTTTTTTTGAAAATTTATTTTATGTCAATTTTGATCAAAAAGTACTCAGAGGAGCTTATTTGTACCTTTTTTGAATTTTATATACTGAAATGCACATTTTTAAAAGTAGTAGGGACTATTTCTGCACAAACCCTATATATCAGAGATTTTTTTTGCACTTAACCTAGAAATTTATATTAGAGATGGGATTAATGTCTTTTTATGCGAAAAGGGGGTAATTGCACCAAATTGATAGTATAGGGCGTTTTATACCACACATGGACTGTTTTACATTATATCGATAATATAGGGAGGATTGTTTTGCACTTAACCCTTAATTGTAACATAGTTCATAATGTTGATATCGACTTACTGTATAATTGTGCATAATATGCAATATAAAAATTGGTAGCCAAAAACAATTGGTACAAAGTACCCTCTGTGTATTTCATCATAGTTTCATGCTAAATTAACTCACCTAGGTTCCCCTTTGCCATTGCAGCTTCGCCAATCTTAAGGAAGCACAAAGCCAAAGCTTATAGAAGTGAGGATTGCTTTTATTACCTGACATTGGACCTACAACATTTTATCCAACTCCAAGGTAATTAATTAATCTCCTTGCTTCATTTGAGATTTCACATGTGAGATTCAGCTGCATCACGGCTGGGTCCCACTGTTTGTCCACGTATCTATAGACTCTGCCTCGGAACTCGCGTCCCCTTTGTATTTGCGCGTTCACAAATCTCTTTGGCGTGAAGGCTTCAGACGAAAAAAAGAAAAACTTACGTCGCTGTATTTTTGTATCTACTGCCCTCTTTCTTTCACGTAAGCAATTTTTTTCCTATTAAATAGAGTATAATTTGAAAAATTATTGGTATACAAAGTGATCAAACTGTCTTGGGTTGATCAGCACATGTGATGTGGATTTAAATATGTGAAAATCATTTCTATTATCAATGTATATTTCATAGTTTCATATAGACCAATTAAATTTGCCTGGACTAATAAAATTATAAAAACAAACTGAAGCAGCATAAAAACATCAACTTACCACTCCTCTATAGGTCCGGCCACCAATGGATCCACCACCTCTCCCACCCCATCCTGCCACCACCACTCAACTCTGCAACCCTGATTCAGCCAACTCCTCCCCCCGCACCCGTCCAACCGACACCTGGGACGAGCCTCTCCCGCCTGTCCCAGGTGCCAAGCTGCGCATGATGTGCAGCTACGGAGGACACATTGTGCCCCGTCCCCATGACAAGTCCCTCTGCTATGTTGGCGGAGACACCCGCATGGTGGTCATCGACCGCCACTCCTCTCTCTCCTCTCTCTCAACCCGCATCTCCCGCACCCTCCTCAATGGCCGCCATTTCACTCTCAAGTACCAACTCCCTAACGAAGATCTCGACTCTCTCATCTCCGTCACCACGGACGAAGATCTCGACAACATGGTAGAAGAATACGAGAGAACCACTTCAAACTCAACTCCAAAGTCTTCTCGTCTTCGTTTGTTTCTCTTTCTAGCCAAACCTGAAACATCCACTTCCATGGGCTCTTTGCTCGACGATGCCAAGTCGGAGACTTGGTTCGTGGACGCTCTCAATGGCGCTGTCTCGCTTCCTAGAGGACTCTCTGATTCAGCAGTGGCTGATTGCTTGCTAGAGCTTGATGGGGCTGTCAATGCTGATTCATGTACTGATCACTTTGAGCCTCAGAATGAGTCTTTGGGTGGTGAAAAGATTGTGAAGAATGCTCAGGATGTGCATTCAACCATGTCCGATTCGCCAATGGTGGAAACTACTTCATCACTTGGCTCAAGCTCTTCTTCTCCTTCAATGTCAAACTTGCCACCCATTAGAGTTAGATCTGATCAGGAAGGTGGAGCTAGGTTGCAAGATCAGATGGTTGGTTTAAATGAACGTCTTTCACAGATGGGTATTGCTTCCAATGTTGTAATAAAGCAAGATCATGGTCATGGGTTGGTTGTGTTGTCTGCTCCACCTCCTCTGCCCACTGTTATTGGTCAAACATATACTATGGAAGCCAATGTTACTGTTAATTCTGGAGCTCCTCCTACTCATGAACACTCAAATAGGCTGTTTTCTGATGATGAGAGATCGGATCAGGGAGCGCCGACTGGGTACAGAAAACCACCATTGCCACTGCAGCCGGTGCAAAGGAAGCTTGGTGATGCTTATAATTTGCCGTCACCGGAATCAAAACATGCTGGTGGCTTCAATTTGCCATCACCTGATTCAGTGGCAAGGTACCCGTCTGTATATGTTAATGATCTTGAATTTTGGGATTTTGTACCTTTATTTAGACTTAAATCTCTGATTAAACCAAAATTTTCGCTCATTAGGCTTGAAACTAGTGGTTAGTTTACCTGGGAGTTTTTCTGATATCAGTAGAAGTGATCAATTGATCCAGGTGAGGTTGGGAGACTAGATCTAGGCATTGTGTGCCATGTACTAATGACCAAAAATTAAATAATTTAATTTGGTAACAAGCTTTTTTTTTTTTGGTACCAGATGGGTATTTCCATGTCAAAGAGGAGGATTTTTTTGGAAATATTGGTTTGCTTTGAACTTTGCAATGATACACTTGGTCTAATATGTTCTTTTGATTTGATTTTTGTTCTCAGTGATAGTAGCATTGCATCTGGAACTTCTCTCTCAAAACATGCAATGTATCATGATCCAACCCATGCTGCAACTAGGGAAAACAGAGCCCCTACTAGCCAGATTGATCCCAAGAGTGGCGTCTTGGATCCAAGCTCCCAAATCCAGATGCAACAAGTTCATGACTCTGTGTTCATGCAGCCTCCACAACAAAATCAACAACAGTTTGTTCATGCCGGCACGCATTATATCACACACCCTGCAGCAGCAGGCACAGTGCCAATCTCATCTTACTACCCAATGTATGCCCCCTCATCTCAGCAACAGCTCCAACCCCAAATGGATCAACAGTATCCAATGTACTTCGTACCAGTCTCCCAAACCCAAGTTACCCAACCTTTCAACTTATCTGTGCAACCCAATATAGCTGATGCCACAGTTGTGGCTTCGAGCAGGCCAGCCTATAAGGAATCGGTCCCTCCCATTTACCCAACAAAGACAGGCATTTCTAATGAACCGGAACTGGCTGCAAGTGTATACAGAACAGGAGCAATGGCAACTACTCCACCTATGGTACAAGTTCCTTCGAATCAATACCATCACCAGCAGCAGCAGCAATACGTAGGTCTATCTCAAATGCATCATCCATCCCAGCCCATTGCTGCTGCTTCTGCTAATTACGGCTACGAATATGCTCATCCTACATTTGAACATGAACAGATGTACTATGCTCAGCATCCGGCCACGCCACTGCCTACTCAGAACCAAACCATGAACCCAGCTGCGGCTGTCATGTTATCGCAGGCCTCAGCACAGTTACCTGCAGACAACACTAATCAGCAGACCAGGACTTCATAACAGTTATAAGTCCGGCCAAAAATCGAGCAATCTGGAGTTGGTCCAGTTCATATACCATGGAGTTCTCTCTTGCAGCTATGGTTACAAGTATAGGTGTTAGGTATTTATATTTGATAATAAGGGATTCGGTCATCGTCCCCTTTATTATGTCTTTATGCCAATCTAAAACACTAAAGCACTCTTCTCTGTTCAGTTTTTTTTTTTTATCTATTTTATTGAATAAGAGTGAATTTTTCCTTCTCAACTTGCCCCATTGGTGTAATGAACACAATGAGGGAACAGTGAGCATTTTTTATTCCATGTGATAGAATGTAGCTTCCCTGATTTAAAGTTCTATGCTAAAAATAACTGAATTCCTGTTGATTAGAATTCAACATGCGGTAATGTTTGTCTTGTTTATTTAGTATCAATTTGTTTGGATGTAAAATATATTTTAAAAAATATATTTTTTTTATTTTTTGGTGTTTGATTGTGGTAAAATATTTACGAAGAAAAAATAAAATAAAATTTAATAAAAATGACTTATCCTTCAATGGATTCGGCGTCAACCTCGACGTAGACCTTTGTCAAACACGAAAAAAGTAAAAATAAAAAATATTTTCTAAAAAGAAAAAATATTCTCTAAAAAGTAATATATATTTTCTAAAAAGAATATTTTATATGGAAACAAACATAGCAATCTTAATAATTTTTAGCATTCAGAATCTCCTAAACACAAACAGTTACCCCTAACCCAGTGAGCATGAGCCAGGTTTGATTTCAATGAAGTTGTGGGAGATACCCTATATGTGGAAGCAATTTGCTGAGCATTTCATTGATAACTGTTATCAAATATAGTAATAAAAATGTAGATTCCTTATCATCAACTCATCCTAATTCCTAACTGCTTTTGAGACCTGTCGGTTGATGGATCATGATCCTTATAATTTACTAGGACTATGAACAGGGTATGTAGCAGAGTTTATGGCTCATCTAATTTTCCAATCATAAGATTATAATTGTTAGTGGCAGCGCTTGTATTTTAAAAGTATGTGAACCTTTCTTCAGGTTTGGCATAATTACTCTATGATATTAGTCAGGTCTAATTTCTAAACATCGAAATTACCCTCTAAGTGAGATAAAATGACTTAAATAACCCTATTAAGCAGACACTTACAAGCTTTTTCACATTGTCTCACCCCACCTTCCAACCAGATGACAATAAATCAATAACCTTTTTCATTAGAAACCCAAAATCAGAAGATCTGCTATTTCTGACTTCTCAGTTTGTATACTGGTTGAATTTTTTATTTTTTTAAAAGTAAATTCTAATTACTTCTTATAAGATTTGTCAATATTTCACATCAACTCCACTCTTAATTTTTTAATTTCACTTACTTTTCCTATTAGTGAATGTCGTCCAACTTGATAATATTGTGTTATTCTAATGTTTGTTCATGAAATATTTGTTGCCATTTGAAGTATTAGAAGGGCAAAATTGATTTTCTATTCATTTTATATTGCTAACTTCAGCATTTTCGGTTGGTTACGTGACTATAAAAAAAAATTTATTACATAAACCATAACATCATGAAAATAAGTATGATTATAATTTTATTTATTTATTTATTTATTTTGTTTTCAAGAATGCCATAAATGTATACAATTATTATTATTATATTTTTTGGAGCCAAAAAAAAAATGCAGACAAATAGGCTATGCATAACTACCATTTCGGCTACATTAATTCTCTCACATGCAAGGTGTGCCTATCGGCCTATCACTGTGATTGATGGGCAATAGCCAATTAATAGGCTTTGTCATGCACCCATTTTTCCATTTATCATGCTCTTATCATGCACTGAGCTTTTATATTGGTTCTAAAATAAATGGAAACTTTAAAAATTGTGATTTTATTACTCATCTATTTTAAAACGAATCTCTCCTTTCAACTTGTCTATTTTTGACATATTTGATTCATATACATTAAATAATTTATTTTATTATTTATTTTATTTTATATATATATATTTTTGAAGTTTACCAGTGTGGTTGACAAGAGGATCCCACTCTTCTTGTAAAACTAATTTGATAAATTTCATTGGACACCAATATTTTTTCAAAAATATTGTATATCAAATATGTTGAGGTAAAGACTTTACAAAGGAATAAGTGGTGTATTTTCAATATTTAGGAGTCGAAAAAAAATAATAATAAATATTAATAAGCTTGATCACTATAGTCTATAGAACAGAATCCAACATTTTAAATTATGCCTTACGACAAGTCACTTTCCAACAACTGTATAATTTTTATTGAAGTCTAATGGACATTCACGTTACTTGATTAAAGATGTTATCTCTCATACTCTCAATTAATTGTCAAAGCCCAACTTTAAAATTTAAATACAAACTAAACAAAAATATAAACATTGAATATATTATTGGGTAATGATGTGAAACTTTAATCTTATAATTAGATTAATATAAAAACTATTATATTTCTACCTACAAATGTGAGGTGTGAGATAAATCTGATTTTTTTTAGACCTATGACTTTAAATTCTTAGCCTAACAAATCGTAAATTTAATCTTAACTAATCTGTCAGGAAATAATAAATATGTCTAGACAGTCCAACATTTAATGTTGTGCCTTTAAAGTCCCTTTTCCATCGTCTCACCCTATTTGGGTGTAGGTTGTCTTGTTGCCTATTCAAATGATGTTATCTCATACACTCATGTAGTATCAAAACCAAACTTGAAATACAAACCAAAGTTACCAAACTACTACTACTATACATTGTATATGTATACTCCGGAGAAAGGAGGAAAAGAAATACGAAATGGTCTTTCTTCAATCGGATCTTCGCTCGGCTATCCAGATTGCGGCCACATTCTGTTACCTCAACCCGGTTCGCTCCGACTTCCGGTCCGAATCTCGTGCCTCCGTCCCTACGCCGGCTATCTTTTCACCGGAGACGGTGTTGCCGTCGCCGAGGTTGAGAGCTTTCCACGCGGTGGCTAGTAATGCGGCGGTGAAAACCACTGGGCAGCCTTCGATTTGTACCGCCGATGAACTTCACTACGTTTCTGTCCACAAATCCGATTGGAGGCTCGCTCTCTGGCGCTACAAGCCTTCTCCCAAGGTTCTCTCTCTACAAAATATCCCCTTTCTCTCTCTCTCTCTAAACGGCTTATTCTCTGTGTGTTGTAATTATCTCTCATTTTTCTTTTTCGGGATGCATACATATGCAATGTGATTCAATTGCGGTCTCTCTCTATATTGCATATATTTATATATATGTATATATAAGTTAGGTATATTCTTTTTGTGATGTGTGTTTGCAGGCGCCTCCAAGAAATCACCCTCTGTTGCTATTGTCTGGAGTTGGAACGAATGCGACCGGATATGATCTCGCGCCCGGGGTGAGTTTAAGGTTTATCATATTTTACTTGTTTATTGATTCTTAATCATCAATGTTCTTTTACTTATTGGTCTTTAATTTTAGCTTTCTCTTTTCATACTTCACGCAGTTTTGAAAACATTAGTTTTATTTTTGATTGAGATTCAAATTGCAAAATATTGAATTTAATTTGTCCTGTTTAGTTGGGTTCAAATGGTATATGGGTAGGGTTCTTTCAGATTATCAAAAAACATGTATAACATTTAATTATATATTCTTATTACATTTATAGATTTCCTTTCTAGTCTTTGTTGCTTATTGCATTTGCTTACACTGTCTTCCCATCTCCTTTCTTTGTCTAAACTATTCAGGGGTTTTACAACATTGTGGATTGGGAATTTGTGGACAGTTTAGATGCTATTGATTGATTTAATTTTTCTTTACTTTTTTGAGATTCTATTTCAAACATTTGTTTTCAATATTTCCATCTTTATGAAACAAATATGTGCTCTTTAGATTACAAATTGACGTAGGGAAGGTTACCGAATTTTTCTGGTACAGTCAGACAAACCTGTTTTGACTCGCAGAGACCCGTTTTGGATCAGAAACAGTCCAGCGATCAACACAAACAAGCTTTCCTGTGGCCCTTTTTTCTGCGAAATTCCATTGTTTAGGAAGTTTCGGGCCTATACTGAGTCATCATTGTCTTCAAAAACTTAGCTTTCTCCTATAATGAACGGGTTTGCACAAGAAGCAAAATGTATAGAAAAAGTTATATGTGACCAAGAACTAAAATCCAAGGGTAACCACAAGAAGGGTGGTGACAATGGTAATTGCTTGGAAGAGGAGAAGAAAGAAAAAGGGGATGAAGAATTGGAAAGAACTATTTCAAGTTATCTATTTATTTGGGGTCGGCTACATGAATCGTAAAAGGAATGAATAATTGTAAAGAACTCATTTAACCGATCTATTTATTTGGGGTCGGCTCCATGAATCCTATACTTCCTATTTTGTCTTAGATGCTCATGCTTATGAAACATGCCTCACCAAGTCAAGGCATAGCACTTCTTGTGCACTTGGTGCCTAAACAAGTTCTAATACCATTGGCTCATATAATTCATTGATTCTTGTCTATTTCTAAGCGGATCAATTCTGCATTGAAAATATGGCAAGAACCCACATTTTCCAAACCAAGCAATTGTTTCCATGTTGGAAATGAAAAAATCGTGCAGATTTCATCGAATGATTGATATCCAGAATGTCAAGTTTCTCTCTCTCTCTCTTGTAAAACATTCTCAGTTTTTATATTTCTCAGTTTTTATATTTCCGCCGTGTAACTGTAAAAATTTAAACCAAATGAATAGAATTATATTATTTATGAAAAAGAACTTCTGGGATTAACATACATCTATCGTAGACAATTTATAAAATTGACGATGTTGTCAGGTTTCTTATAGAATTTTATCGCAACATCGTTGTCCGAGGCTAACCCAAGCATTCGGTATCTGAAGTTTTAAGTTTCTCTCTTTAATTTTTTTTTTTTTTTATTATTATTTTTTTTTTGTGAATCAGATAATAAAATGGGGTGGGACTTGACAAGAGCCTCTTTTGGAGATTACATATCCCATAGTAGTGTTTCATGTGCAAAAAATAGCTGTAATGCTGACCAAGTAACATTACAATGCTGACCAAGTAACATGCACTCTGGTATATCGGTTAAACAATATATAATAAAGTTCCATTTTAAAACTTAGGGCTAAACGTTAATCACCATGCAATTTAAAATCATGTCAGCCCATGATAGTTTTGAACCATACATATTTTGTACACCTGTTGGCAAGTGATTTGAAGCATTTATATAGTAACTTTGACTTGAGTTGTCCCATTTCTGATTTCCCCCTTCATCTCTGCGGACCTCTTGCCCAGTCATTTGAAAATGTATTGCACTGTAGTTTTCTGAGTAACTATTTATGTTCTGTGATATATGTTAAGTGCAATAGTAATCTGAGCGTCTAGTGGCCACTTAGTGAATATATAAATTAGATCTGTCTGTTCTCTTCCCCTCCCAGCACTGTGTGTAGAGAGGATTTGCATTGGGCCAGGGATACATCTAAAGTGCAAAGTTAAAACTTCCCTTCCCAACACTTTGTATCTTTACCTTTTTATATTTTTTCCCAAACTTTTGGCCTATGATGGTGAATGTGAATTGTTTGCAGTCGTCATTTGCACGGTATATGTCCAGCCAAGGATATGATACATGGATTCTTGAATTTCGAGGTGCTGGGTTGAGCACAGGGATGAAATCTGGGAAAGTTGAGCAGCCTGTTAATGCTATTTCTGAACCGATTAATTCAGCCGTCAAGCATAAGGAAACTGGTGCAGACTGTTCAGAACTTCGGCCTGATATCAGCTCTGATACTTCTACAGAATCTGAGGTCTCTTCTGCCAATGAAAAAAGGACAAAGATGATGACCAAATCTGATGAGTCACAGATGATGACTAAATCCGATGAGTCCCAATTACTGACAAAGTTGACAGAAACTATTACAAATTTATCTGAAGGTATTACATTATTTGTCATACTTGTCTACGAGTAAAAAATATGACTGCAAAGTTATTTGATGAAATGCCAAAACTCATAGAAGATTCTCAAATATATGAATGCTTTAATGATATTAGGGAAAAACTTTCAGGTCTATTAGAAGCAAGGCCAGATTCTCCAATTGCCAGCCAAATCAGGGATTTGAGTCGAAGGCTCGTAAATATAATTGAAGGTCAGCGAACAGTTTCTCCACGGTTTATTGATTTGCGAGAGTATTTTTCTATGATAATAGAAGATTTCCGGAAACAGCTTGACCTCATTGTGAAGTATGACTGGGATTTTGATCACTATCTTGAAGAGGATGTTCCTGCTGCGGTGAGGTGACATCTCCTCATTGTTAGCGACTTAGAATATGAAATTATATGGTTTTTTCCTCTTTGTATATGATCTTCTTACCAGATCACTGGTTGTAGATAAATTCATGAAACTTATATCTGTCAATGTAGATGGACTACATAAGGACTCATTGCAAACCAAAAGATGGCAAGTTGCTTGCAATTGGTCATTCCATGGGGGGTATCTTGCTATATTCAATGCTTTCACAAAACAGTATGTGTTTTATAGTCTCCTTCCTATTGTTATCGTTCACTTGCAACATACGTTAACACTTGCTTTTGAAGCATACAATTTTTTCTGCTTTCCTTTTTCTATAAGAATTAGGTCTTTCACTTTTTTTAAGATTTAGTTTTATGTTGTTTGATTGAGTATCTATAATCTATTAGACATGAAAGGCAATTTTACTTTTTCATCATATTCCTTATGTCCTATCTGTTGGAATTTGTAAAAGGCTAGTTCCAAACAGTGTTATTAAAGGCTCAAGGTGCTAGAGGCCCTTGGAGCCTAGGCGCGAGGCGCACAGTGAGGCACGAGCCCGAGTCAAGTGAGGTGCACAATTGAAATTTTAAACTACCATAAAAGCATTCATATCTCATAAGTCATATCAATATTCTAAAAATTAATATCAAATATAAAAAAAGTAAATCCATCAACTATATAAGCATTCAAGAACCATAAAACAGAGCACAAATTTGTTTTCTTGAAAGGCAAAACAGAATTTATTTTTTTGAATGGAAAAACAGAGCACAAAAAGAAATAATTCTATTAACAAAACAAAACAAAAAACTTTTAACAAGAAAAGGAAAAAAAAAAAAACCAGAAGACGCAGAGACAAAAGAAGTAGATGAAGTGACTGAAGTAGATGAGAAGGGAGAAAGAGTGTGAAGAAAAAGGAGAAAAAACAGAGCCCAAAAAACAGAAAAAGACAGAGAAAGAAGACAACTAGATGAAGAGAGAGAAGTAAGCAAAGATGAGAGGAGAAGAAAGAATTGACATGGCTTCATCAGTCGTCTATGCAACTAGGGCTTTGTCGTTTGTCTCACAGTCTCACTCCTTCTATATTCGGTTAACACTTTGACTCTTGGGCTTTCTTATTTGTTTATTCTTTTGAACAAAAGTTCCTTCTCTCATAAGAAATAGAATAACCATTTAAAAAAAACAGTGAGGCGCGCCACAACTTGACAAATAGGACGAGGCTCGACCGAGGCGCGGGCCTAGTAAACATCAGTGAGCCTGGGATGACAACAGGCACTAGAGGTGCGCCTCGAGCCTAGGCGTGCCTTTAACAACACTGGTTCCAAAGGCTCAATTTTTAAGAGATCCCTGAGAAACACATTCTGAAGATTTTGTAGTTAAGTTCACAATGCATGTAGAGAGTTCAGATTTAAGGAAATGATAAAATAAAAGGGAGGGAAGGGAAGAAGAAATAACAGCCTTTTACAAACAAATATTTAAAATTCATATATGTAAGTGAATCATTTTTGTTAAGTATAGGCTTTTAAACTCTTTCATTTTTTATTATTATTTTTTTTATTTTTTATAAGTAAAGATTATATAAAAAGCGTTCAAAAGGGGATAAAGGCACTGTCATTCCTATCAAGTGTCATTCCTATCAAGTTGCTCTAGCTGACTAGTAAAATACATAAAATAAAATACTTATCAAAAAAAAAATACATAAAAAAAAAAAAAAAAAATTTCAAGTCAAAAGCTTTTTTAATGATGTGCATATAGTTATGTTTTTCCTTGAATCAATATCAGCAAATATGCATATCAACAGTTTCAATTGTAACTACTTCTTTACTAGATGCAACTAGTAATTGTATTCAGAGTTGGTTTCCTATCTTTAATCATAGCATTTACTTATCAAATGAAAAAAGAAAAGAAAAAAAGAAAAAAAAAAAAAAAAGGGAATATCCTTGCATGCTATTGGAGTGGTCCTGGGGTGAGGAAATGGGGAAGCTGTTCAATTGGGACGATGGAGCAATGTTTATATATCTACCTTTATTGCACAATCACGATAAAATACTTATGTTGGCCACCAATTCTTGTCCTGATCACTATTATAAATATTCCATATAAAGTAGTTGGAACATGCAACATAAAGCTCCGTCTGCTTGTCACATAAATATTGCAAGAATTTGTCTCGACTTATAGTCAGGGAGCTGAGTTGAAAATTCTCATGATGGCTTCCAACTAAAGGTGCTGTTTGATAAAACTGAAATTAATTTCCGAAAGTTTTAAGAGCAGAATTTTAAGTGCTGAAGTTTTTAAATGGTAATTAAAAAATAAATATTTTTTGATATCTTTTTGAACTTTCAGGGTTTAGCATTCAGTGATAAGTGATGTCTCTATCACTTAAAATTTTACCCAATTTTAAGTGGTGCTTACCATTTTTAAGTGGATAAGTGCTTAATCCGTTCAGCATTAAGTGCTGAATTGAGTTATCAAACATCACCAAGTTGCCAGTTTTTACGATAAACTGAGAAGCTCTGTTAATGTCACAACAGTTGATAATGGGGGCACTACTTCAATTTATAACAGAAAGTCTCTTTGTTTTAGCAACTAAGGAACAGTCACCACCAAAGTTATGTATGTTTGTAAATAAGGCTATATTAGGAAGCATATCTTCAATTAATGAAGTTTAAAATTAAAATTCCATTCGCTGTTGCATTTTAATGTTATATGTTGTTAGATGTGACATTAATTGACAAATATTTATCACAATGGTTGTGTCCAAATGTTGGTTCTTAAGAAATATTTATTATTTGAGTGCTAAAATGTATTTATCTGGCAAGGTTTTAAAGGCAGGAACTCTGAGTTTGCAGCGGTCGTCACATTGGGCTCATCGCTCGATTACACTACTTCAAAATCAGCATTGAAATTGCTTTTACCGCTGGCAAGTAGAATAATATTTTTTTTTTTCAGAACTTGTTTCACCATGACAGATTTCAAGCTCTAGTTTTGGAATGGAATGAGAACCTGATCTTGATTCACTGTCACACAGGCAGATCCCGCACAGGCTTTAAATGTTCCTGTTATTCCATTAGGCACATTACTCGCTGCTGCTTATCCTCTTGCATCCGGTCCTCCTTATGTTTTGGCTTGGTTGAATCCTCTGATTTCTGCAGAGAACATGATGCATCCAGAGTTGTTTGAGAAGCTTGTTTTAAATAACTTCTGTAAGTATCAGATGGTTTCTCCCGTAACTGACAATAAACCTGTGAATAGATGCAGTTAATTGCGTGTGGAAAACATGCATTTTGAAGCAGTTTGATATTGATGTCTTCTTTAAAGTGAATATGCCATCTTGAATTTTTAATAGTGATGAGTACTGACACTCTGAAGTTACGTTGCAAACAAGTTGTTCTTGCATGGTTCATATAAACTGACAGATCCCTTATAAGCTTGGGTGGTGGCACCTTCCAATGGTATGAGTGAAGGGGGCAATCTGACACCCTTTACTGGAAATTCAAGGATTTTGTGTCATGATTAGGATTGTTAGGTAATGCACTGTCAGTGATTATTATAGCATATATTGTACAATAGGATGTATATCCCCATGTAAGGAGCACAAATTGGCATAGAATTGGTTGAAGGCTGTTCAAATACCTTTGTTAATTCATTTATGTTTAAAGTCAGTTACTTAGGTATGAGATCGAAATGATAGTAGTCACACTAGGCTTTTACTTCAGCAATGGGGTCCAAAATTCAGAATTATAAAATCTGTAGTCATTCCACTGAAGGATTAAAAGAACTTGTTTGCACAACCAAACACGTCTATGGATTTGAAGCTGCTACCACAGTTTATATGGGTTTCTGCCCTTCTGTTCTCATACTCCTTTTGCCTCCTTGCTATTTCACTCAATATAAGTCTTTCTCGTTCTCTTGGTTTATCATCACCAAGTTGTAAAAACTTTTCTTCCAACTCTTTATGAACTCCCAATAAGGGTGGTGGTCACACTGGCCAATAAATCTATCAGTTATCATAAAAATGCTCAATTTAAAATTTTAACATCGTCATCATATGTTTGATATTCCTCTGTGCATTTGTCCAATCGGGATGGTGGTAATCTGAAAGTTTCTTGTAGCTTTTTAAAGTTTTTTTTTTATAATTAATTTATTTATTTTTATTAGGATGCTGCTTGTGCAGTATTGTTGACGTCAAACTGAAAAGATTTATTTTTGTTATATACGTGTCAGCTAAACATGGAGTGAGGACATCTAAGAAGCACGGACACTCCAAAATGGACGAAGAATCCGTGTCCGACACGTGTCGGACACGGACACGCGTCGGACACGCCCCGACACGTGTCGGACACGCCAAAAAACGTGTCTGGAATTTTTTTATTTTTTTTTATTTTCGGACACGGCTCGGACACGGCTTGGACACGGCTCGGACACGGCTTGGACACGGCATAGACACGGCTCAGACAGCTCGGACACGGCTCGGACAGCTCGGACACGGCTCGGACACACTTTTCTGGATTTTTTTTTTAAATTTTTAATGCTGATATGTTAATTTTTTTTTTTTTTTTTTTAATTTTTAATGCTGATATGTTCTATTTTTTGTTTTGTACTACCCTAAAGATGGTGATATATATATATACTAACCTAAAGATGCCACAATTCGCCGTGTCCGTGTCCTAAAGATGCTGATATATATATATACTAACATATCAGTGATATATATATATATTCCAACCTAAACATATCAGTGTTTTTTTTTAAAATTATTAATGCTGATATATATATATATATATATATATACTATTTGCCGTGTCCGTGTCCTAATTTTTTTGGATTTGCCGTGTCGCTGTGTCCGTGTCGTGTCGTATCCGTGTCCCGTATCCGTGTCCGTGCTTCTTAGGAGGACATCTACCATTCAGATGGGAGAGAGCACAATGTTAAAGAGTACATTGCTGGACTGAGTTTGACATTTCAGGAGAAAAGACCATATGTGTTATGGGAATATATACCCAACTTATTTTAGCCTTAAGTGATGGGTGATAGGCATTGTACTTCAACACTTGCAAAGTTGTAGCTAATTATTTGAGGCTTTGAGCATTATGCTCGAGTTCATCTGGAAGACAGGAAGTCCTATAAATGATCTACTCTTTTTTTTTATTTTTTCTTTTTTGGCTCTTTTTCAGGTGTGTGTTTATAATTAGAAGTTATTGTGGTACCTTAATTTGATATACTTCAAAGTTAACCAATTAAAATCAACTAATGCATGGGATTTCTTTCTGCATACTTTTGCACATCTGCATAAGTCAGAACATTTTTAGGCTTCAGGAAGGTTTGCTTAGATTTCTAGTGAGCGTAAATCGTAGCTGGATTTCTCTTGTGGGCCTTGGTTCAGGTGGTAAAGGGGTGGAGTCAGGAGTGGGATGCTCTTGGGAAAGGTCTTAGATTCAGATCCTGCTTTGGAAATATATATATATATATGGCATATGGAATTCATGTTAGTTTTGTATCAGAGCAAGATGCCATCTTGAGGCATAAACTTCCCCTTTTTTTTTTCTTTTTTTTTTTTTTCTACGTTAAGATCAGGTAGTTATAAGTAATATCTAGAAAAGTAAGTATATGCGAAGGAAGTGCTACAACCTTAATTTTCTGGTATTTATAGCAATTACATTTAGTCATGCACTTCCTTTAATCTTTTTGCATATAGGTGGGAGCAGGTTGAATTTACCTAAGTTCTGTTGTGACCAAGGATTGTAATATTTAATTCCTTAGCACCCAAAACTAAAAGAAATGGATTTCGGTTGAATTGTAATAGTTATCTTACCTGAAGTTTGATCTTAAAGAGAGAACAGTCATGGGAATGGCAGAGAGTTCCCTTTTTCATGTGGAGTGCGTGAAGTACAAATAGACTAGCAGTTCTGGTAAGATTTGTAATATTGAAACTACCCAAATGTAAGCATAAATGGAAAAATACTATATGGAATTTCTGCAATGTTGACTTTGGTTATGGGTATCAAATTTGAAATTTCAAAGCTGCAAATTAAATCCTGTTCTTGTCAATAAGCTCTTGCACGGACCAGTTGAAAAGAGATCAATGTAGAATCCCTGCTGAAAAATATGCACTTTGCCCTGTATGCATTAACCTTGTGCTATCAGTCTTACAAATTTCAATTTTCTTATTCGCCCTCATTTTTTTGAAAATCATTTGGCTGAAAATCTATGTTTGCAGGTACAATACCCACTAAGCTGCTTTTGCAGTTAACAACAGCCTTCCGAGAGGGCGGACTATGTGACAGGAGTGGAACTTTCTTTTACAAGGATCATCTTTACAAAAGCAATGTGCCTGTTTTAGCACTTGCTGGAGATCAAGACCGAATCTGTCCACCTGAAGCTGTATATGGTAGAATATTAGCTGATGTCATCTTTTTTGCAACTTTAATGGGCTGTTATTTGTCAAATGGCTTTCTCATACTGTTTGTTTTTCTATCTGTGATAAAACATCAATGGCTCAGAAACTGTCAAGCTGATTCCTGAGAATTTGGTTACGTACAAAGTCTTTGGTGAACCAGGTGGACCACATTATGCTCACTACGATCTTGTGGGAAGCCGTTTGGTATGTGTGCTGATCTTTGTCTTTTGTGATTGAGAGATACTTTGCACCATGATGAAATAATATCATTGTTATCTTGGCATATTAAATCAATTGGAGTGATGGGTTTCATAACGGTTTCCTTATTATACTTCTTAAATTTTTTAAATGCAGGCAGCAGAGCAAATATATCCGCTTATAATCAACTTTATCAGTCTTCATGATAAAATTGATTCCCAGTAGAGGGCAAACATAAAATATCTTATTCATGCTCTGCCTGATTTTCTCCATGGTTAATGAAGAAAAGACTGGAGATGGAGCAGGGAAAAATTACACCGAACCAAAAAATATAATACATCTGATGTGAGGAAATAGAAAAAGTTTGTGACGACACATGCATTTCTTTTTCTAAGCATTTCCATCAGGCAAGGGAAGGCCAACAATCAAACACAAACACGGTTCGGCATAAACACTGTTTCGTCTAGGAGTCGTATGGAGAATTACGAGTTCTGTGAGGATTACATGTAAGAACTTTGTATGCTTCCAGTTTCTTGGTGGAAACGGGTTTAAGGCTTTCTTCTGGAAAGCCATTCAGTGTATTTGTAAATTAATAATTATGTACACAATGTATCTGTAACCAGAATTTAAATTTGTACTTGGTGATATACTCTTTTTTGTTTGCACCTATATATATAGTCTTTATTGTGTCAGACTTTGTCGCAGAAATCTGTGCCACACAGAAAACACTGGGCGCACATGTTTGTACTCTTTCTAACGTCCAACATTTTGCACAAATGTTGATAGCACTGAAAATGTATCATGTTCTATTTAGAATTGTTTGGTTAAAGATTTAAAACAAGGTTTTCGGTTTATGGAATACCAGGTAAATTAAAAGGATGGGAGCTAGCTACTCAAGTTTCCAAGTCAAATTCACTTGTTACTGGAAAAGTAGATTAATAGATTCATTAAACAGATTCATACGATAAATAGTGCTCATGCAAAAGCATGGAATGAGCATCATCCCAAATGGTAATTGATACGACTAAGGTTCTAATCCTACTAAAGGATCCTTTTCTGAGCGATCACTCCAATATCTGCCATGTTTGACGATGAATTAATAAATACATTTTCGTATATGACCTTGTCGGACCAATAAAACTGTGGTAAGAAATGATGTATTCAAAGCTGTCACGTTCATACCTTCATCTGCAGAGCTAAAAAGTCTTCAATCAAGAACCATCATTCAGATTTATAAAGTAATGCAAAAGAAATGTAAAGAATTGTGATTTAATGAAAATGACAAAGGTTCTAATGATCTCCGCAATTTCCAGAACCATAACTTCAATTAACATCGGATTGCCAACCCGTACAACAAAAAAACAAAAGAGGCCCATCATATAAGGAATCGAAATGCCACACCAACAAATGCTTTCTTGCTTGTGCTGAAGGTGAATTCTGTACATAAAATAAGAGAAAAGGACGCAGCTTTTTAAAGACCACCTGGGCATCAGATTTGAAGAATTACATTCCCCTATTGAGCCACTGCGGCAGTTTTACAGATGGGGCAAATATTTTTCTGCGCGAGCCACTGCTTTATGCATTGAATGTGGTAGAAGTGGCCACAATCCAGCTTCCCCATTTCATCATCTGCTTCATATTCCTCCTGCATATTTGTAAAACAGCACATGTCTATATAAGAATTTGGAAAAGAAACTAACTAACAGAAGCTTTGAAGCACATTGAGAACTAGTTTCCTATGAATCAACCTGACAAATGCTGCACTTCCGTTCCATTTCCGGCAAATGGTATGACAAATCATCCAAAACCAATGGCTTGGTTTTCCTGAGGCAGCAGAGTATCTCATCTTCTCTCAATCCAGTATTCACATTCCCAATTCTCTCTCCAAGCTCAAGCAGTTCCTGTTCTCACAGAATATCAATAGTTTTTCACGGAAATCAAGAGTGATATGGACACTAGAAGACTTTAAGCAAAACATAACTGGAACAGGACTGAAGATGTAATGAGGAAAATAGGCCCACCTCGTACGACATGTTATCAACGTCCAGTCTCCAGTCCCTATATCGATCAAATCCAACCGATCTTCCTCCAATTAGCAGACTATTTTGGAACATCACAATCTGTACCCATAAAACACTATAAAATTTCATACAATCTATGCACTCCCATTAAGAATATATTCTTTTATTTAAATTATACGTAATGGAAAACATTATCAGACCCCTTGCATTGAGTATTTAAATACTGTCTATAATAGACATGTTCGCATGGAAGTAACAAAAAAAACTGGTACAACTCATAAACAAACCTTTGAATTTGCCTACAAGGTTTAGTAATAAAACACGGAAAGTAAAACATCCCTGTTAATCTCGTAACAATTACAAATATTCATTATCAACACCAAAAGCAGTAAAAAGAACTAACAAACAATGCCTTCAACTAATTGCAGCAGCTTATATGGTCAATACTGCAGCAACACAGACACCTAGTGGCTAAACAACAAATAAGAAATGTCTCCATGGGGAATAGGCATGGATATCATATGCATACCCAAAAGAATTTTTTTACCAAAGAACACGAACTTTTAAAGAAGAAAATCAATTTCAGAATGCTTTATCACCTTAACAACACCTGGAAGCATTGTCACGGACTTTGGTCATTATCAGCTTGATCTTTTGATATTATAAGTATATCACCATCCCATAGAATTGGATTCAGTCCAATTAATTCTTTATTTGAAATTGTCTTCACAATCAATTCGAGTTTTATACTGATTTGTCCAGTTGGGAACACATTATATATTTACCTAAACCAGTACGTCCTTCAGCGGATTCCACGTTACACCCAAGATGTTGACACACCGCCACCTTAGATGAATTTGAGTACAACTGGGATCGTCCATCTGATCGTAGCCCGTGGTTCTCTTGGAACTAAAAACATCTTCAAAGTCCTCATAATAAGTTCACACTTAAATTCATGATTGAGCAATCCCAGGAGTAATTACAGCTCCTTCAAAATTACCCCCAACTCCCCAAGTTGCAAAAGGATGGTAAGGACTTGGCAACCCAAATTATAATCCAACCATTTATATATGTCATTTTTGCTGTTAATGCTTCATTTCACTTATTACACATGGTATTAATGTCATTCAAATTCAAGTGAGCTGGTAACAAATTTTGCTCATCACAACACACGAATGACCGATCGATAGTGAAGGATCAAATTTCTCCTCGGATTTGAATAATGGGTAGGTTAGACAGGGCCTTGTCTCATCTTAGTCAATTTTACATTAAACTCGCAAAGACATTAGCTCAGATCATTGAAAAAATAGGATCTAGCTGAGGCTTCGTGATTTTAACTCTTTCTTTCAAACAAATAAAAACATTACCCAAGACTCTGATGCGCCAGAATGGACGCGTATAGGCATTATGGATATTAGTTTGCAACTTTCTTTCTTTGTAAATTACATTTAATCCTCGTTTAAAATTCAGTTATTAACTTATTAATTGACCACATGTCTCAATTCCAATCATATAAACCAATAAAGTGGAGACTATTTTTTACGTGGAAAACCTAAATAGGGAAAAACCACGGCATGTGATCCAGGCCAAGAAAGAGGTTACGGACTAAGTTACTTAACCCAAGAATCACCCAGTCCCTCATGATTCAGATTTACGTGGGAAGATGATCTCCAATGACTAGTGATGTCCGGTCAACTTGTTCTTAACAAACCACTCAGTTTATGCTCTGTCTAATAGTTTCAGTTTAGCTCCTTACTTTGATACTCTCAATCACGTATGGTATGGCAGTCTATGAAGAACCCTAGATTGATTCTCAAAGCTCTCTCTCTCTAAAAATAAAAATTCTCTCAATAATATGTAAAGAATTGAAAGGCTGAAAGGTAATGTGAGAACTTAGATTGACAATAACTCTATCTTTATAGCCAACATAGGAGAGCCATGCAGTATGGCAAATTAAATTCTTTTAGAATTTTGATTAAAGAGAGTTTCCTTAAAAGTATGTCTGCAGGGTTCGAGCCTTCTATCAACACTAATTAGTTTGATAGTTTCAGTTTAGCTCCTTACTTTGATACTCTAAATCACATATGGTATGGCAGTCTATGAAGAACCCTAGATTGATTCTCAAAGCTCTCTCTCTCTAAAAATAAAAATTCTCTCAATAATATGTAAAGAATTGAAAGGCTGAAAGCTAATTTGAGAACCTAGATTGACAATAACTCTATATTTATAGCCGACATAGGAGAGCCATGTAGTATGACAAATTAAATTCTTTTAGAATTTTGATTAAAGAGAGTTTCCTTACAAGTATGTCTGCAGGGTTCGAGCCTTTTATCAACACTAATTGGACACCTCACAATCGATCAAACATTTCAATTGATGCAATTAGGATTTGAAAATATTTTTTCCCATAAAATCTCGATTGGTCAATCATTCCTTCGAGGGCTTACTACAACAACCACGTCTTTTCCCAATTACTTGGGGTAGGCTACATAAATCCTATGTTTCCATTCCCCTCTATTTGAGGCCACAGCCTCAGTCGATCCACATGCTATCATATCTTTTTTTACTAACTCTACCCACATTAACTTTGGTTTTCCTCTCTTTTTTTACTAACTCTACCCACATTAACTTTGGTTTTCCTCTCATCTTAGTACCACCATCACACTTAAAGGTATTCTTTGCACATGTCCAAATCATTTTAACCAATTTTCTCTCATTTAATCTCCAATTGGTGCTACTCTATCTTTCGAATGTGATCATTTCTAATTCTATCTTTTTTAGTCTTACAGCACATCCAGCTCAATATTCGCATTTTTGCCACACTCACATTATGCAAATGTTATTTCCAAGCACCCAACATTCAGTACCATAAAGTATGGTTGGTCTAATAGTTGTTCAATAGAACACCCCTTTCAATCATAACAGGATACGCCTATCACATAATATACTAGATGCACTCCTCCATTTAACCCATCCTACCTTGTTTCTATGATTAACGTCATCTCCAATTTCGCACTCATTATGAATAATTGTCTTTCGTACTAAAGTTACACTCCATCTATTCAGTTTTCTTCCGACTTATCTTAAACTCTGTTAGTTCTAAAGTCTCTCTCCAAACCAATTTGGCATTTAATTCTTCTCTAGTCTCATCAAATAAAACAATATCATCGGCAAATAACATACACCACGGAATCTCATCTTGGAATGTGTCTTGTCAGCTCATCCATAACCAGGGCAAAATGGTATGGACTTAATACTGACCCCTGATGTAACTCTAAAGTAATTGGGAATTCACTTGTTTCCCTGTAAGTGTTCTAATTATAGTCACATAACCATCGTGCATGTCCTTTATTGTGTAAATGTATCCCTTTGTGATTCCTTTCTTTTCTAAAACCCTCCATATTAGGTCTCTAGGTATCCTATCATAGGCTTTCTCCAAATCAATAAAAACCATATGGAAATCTCTCTTCTAAAGACCATCCTACGTCATAATTGGTCTCTATGGTCTCAACATTCCTTAACCTAGATATGTGATAGAGTCTCGAGATTTTTCGCGTATCCTTCGCTAATCTGTGTTTGCCTTGTCTTCAACAGATGTATTCAAACGACTCGAGACACTTTGACACAATACAACACAAGTTTTGAGTAGGAGTTTGCCACACATGACTCAAATACCTAACAATTCCGTTGTCTAAACTTACTTCTATAATGACCGCGTATTAAGCACATTGAGACTTAACATCAGCTGCTCCATTTCAGCCTAAACCTTAAAAGTAGAAACTAAGTAACCCATTACTTCATCCGTTCAGAGCACATCTATACTCTCATTCCCATAATAACATCCTTAGCTCCCACTTATATGCATTTACTTCAGCACTCCTGCAGCCATTGTTACCCAAAAATGACATAGCAATTCTTGTTCATCACAATTCTACAAAGCATGTATTTGAATAACTCTTCCTTGATCATGTAGAACTATTCAAATACGCCTTGGTTGATAAATGGATAGCATCAATTCCACCAACTCAGCACCATCTCTTAGAAGTTCTTTCACCGCATTGCTCAATCACATGTACGCCTCTCAACAGAATAATAACGTTTTCCAAAATTCTGTTCAACATACAACATTTTTCTCATTTATACTTGTCAGTGCGTTCATCAAGAAGTGGATCTTCAGTAAGTGTTCCCCTCCATGTTAATAGCTTCCTAGATTTGCTGAGATCAATCAAATTGGAATCTATTTTCATTGATTAGCATCCAGACGCTAAACAGAAAAGATCTCTGTGATACTCTCAGAAAATGACATTTTTTATTCTTACAGGCTTACTCCCAATTGAATAGTTCAACAGTCATAGCAAACAAAAGGTTTCCTAGTTTTATATATATATATATTTAGTTCTTTTGGAGACGAATAAGTAAAATGTTTCCTAATTGACTTGCATGATCAACTTACTTTTAAAATTGATTAGTTAAGGGAACACTCACATAGAAAAAGGTTTATATAAATGATTGGGCTTTTTCAATCATGCCTGCAATTGCTTTTCCCCTCATTCAGGTCACATATCATTTCGAAAAGCTCTAAATTAACTTCAACGCATCTCAAAAATTCAACATATGTGCAATATCATCAGGAGTGTTTCTCATTTTATAGTTATTCATTTATAGAAGACATGAAATATTGTTGAGTGGCCAGTCACAAAGTCACTGTTTTGACTTAGTAATTCCGTGTCAAAAGTTTTTCTATAACTCAGTGCCAATGAAAATGTTTTGCATTTGATTGGATGACTCAAAAGAAACAAAGGCACCTGAAGAGACAGTTGAAAAGGATTGATGTCAGCATGAAGAAGTATTGTAAACATTATCCAATTCACCAGGAGTTCATATTGTTCTGAAATATTTCATGTTACTAAATATTGTCCTGAAATATTTCATTTTACTAAATATTGTTCTGAAATATTGTAAACGTACTCAATTTACCAAAGGAATATACTCTTATTCGCCAAATCTCCTTTCATCATCAATTATTAAATTGGAGAATCTACCAAGAAAGCTGATGCTTATCACCAGACTTGATATAACAGTGATATGATAAAATAAAATAAAAATACTAATATAAACTCAATAGGTTAAACATGTGCATCAGCAGATAAACCTTTTTTTTCTTTTGTCAACTAAGTACACAGGAAGAGAGCTTCCCACCCCGAAATATGTCTTTAACCCTTTCTCATAATAATGAATAGTCCATTGGTGAAATACACAATCTCATTTAAAGCAAGCCAGTGAATCAAAAAGCACATTTTAAACAATATATGCTCAAATGCAGAAAATTTTCAAGGCGAATACCCTTAGCAAATATTATATGTAAGAAAACTACAAAGATGAAAGCTAACAATCATTTACAGAAAGAAAATGAAAAGAAAACGGAAAGTAATAATCATGTCTAAAGGAGTATGATGGTGAAGTTTCAGCATCATTTAGTATTCAGGTTTATGTTCTGCAAGGACAATAGATATCTTCAAGACTACATTTTTGACATTTTTCTGGTAAGTAGGTATTTTAGTCAGCATAAAACAAGCTAATGCTATGCATATGGACAAACCTCAGCAAGCCCCTCGGGAGAGCGATGTCGAGCATGACGATGGTACCTAGCTCCAAATACGTCTAGTCCAGGGTGTTCCATTCCCAATCCATGGTCAGAATCGAGAGAAGAGATATGTTCAGGCCTCATGGTTCGCCTTGCAGGACATGAAGAACGCTGCCAACCCCACACAAGTAAAATTGCCTCAGATTATGCACATATATATACATTTAGCCACGTTTTCCACAGTGTATTGATGAAAAAGTATTTACAGAACATTGAAAACAAAAAGGCAGCACAACATATGCGAAACAAGAAATACACAAACACACGTATTAGCTGAGAAACACAATAGTTATTTGATGTGTACTGTAAAAGCTTTGTTAAACATATGTATAAACCATTAGTCAAACCTATCAAAAAGAGTTCAGTTCATCAATAATAGATAATGGAATAGTGTGGGAATAGAATCAATCAAATATGAAAAAGAACCATCCAAGAAAAATCAATCAATTCACACCAGAGACCAAAATAATAATCAATGAATGGAATTTTCTATAACTAAGGCATCATCCACAAAAAAAATCTTCAGCCCTAAAACCCAACCAAAAACAAATAAAGTTTGAGTCTTGATCATTGCAAATGAACAATACATCCAATTAATAGTAAATCAAGATAAACCACCAATATAGATTAATAAATACAAACACATTAAAATCAAAAGCAAATAACAAAACCAGTCAACAAAAGGAAAGAAACTTATTGCCAATCAATAAATATAATAGGAGAAAAGTTTAGAGAGAGAAAAGTTTAGAGAGAGAAGCAATACCTCCCTCTGATTCATCTTGTCACCATCAACTTTCCCTTTTCCTGAATGTGGCCTTCTTGACACAACACAGTCAACAGAGGCAGCATCAGTGGTGAAACCAATCCCAGGACCACACCAAACATCAGGAACAACCACGGAAGAAGATGATGAGTTGGTATTAGTCATCCCCAAATCTTGATGGATTGCCCTGTTTTTCTTCTGCTTCTTCTTCTGTTTCTTCTTCACTTTCTTGGCTTCCCAATCGGCTGATGTCCGAATCATCGCCGGCACAGACACCTGCGAAGAAGCAGCACATCCAAGCCCCCTGAAGGTTGCAGATTTGAAGTTCTTCTTCTTGGTATTGTTGGTGGTGGGTGTGTTGTCATTGGCGGTGAAAGTGGAGAGGAGAGAGGAAATGGAGGATTTACAGCCAGTGGATTGGATAGAAGCAATTTGTGAAGGGTTTGGATCTGAGTTTGAGATGATTTGGTTTCTGGGTCTTCTGTATTTAAGGTGTTCTGCTATTGTTGAGGTCTCTGCAACAACAACAGGCATGATTGGATTGAACAGAATAGAGAGAGAAAGCTAGAGAGAGAGAGAGAAATAGAGAGAAAGAAAGATGTGACTTTGTATGGAAGTTGAAGAATGGAGTTATGTGAAAATAGGAGAAGGTTTTGGAGAGAGAGAGAGAGATTGATTTAAAGTGGAGAGGGAATAATGCTTTGATTAGTTTTGATGAAGGCTTCTATGGGTTTAGGGTGGGCTCTCATTTGTCTTCTTGTTGGTTTGTTGGGTATAAATGCAGTCTGAAACTCGGGAATTTGTATACTACTTACTACTACACTATTACTTTTGCTTTGTTTTATGCTTTCTTCAAGCGATTAAGGATGGGATTTAATTGATGCTAACTTTAATTGATTCTCCTTCTTGTGTTCCTGTTACTCTACTGTGTCCCTGTGCTCTGCAGTTTAGTAGTTTGAGGTTGGGCTTCAGTTCTGGTGACACAAATTACTGTCTACGAAAGTCGTATTTGTGGTTGAGTGTGGACAGCATTCTGATGGGTCCCACCTTTTTAAAGATTGTAAGGTCAAATTCGTCACTATACAAAAGAATTGTCCTTCAGTGCACAGGGATTACAACTGTCATATCTCTCATGACTTTTTTATTGCTATTTTTTTTTTTTCTTTTCAAATTATGACAATTTGGAATTTTGTACTTATTTTATTTGCAGTTAATATGTGAAAATGTGTTATTAGAAAGTTCATATTCGGACTATATTTTTTTTCAATTACACTTAAAGTTGTTATTATTGTTATTATTAAAATAATAAAAATATCCTTAAATTCATTAATCCGTTCATATTTTATAATGTTATACAACTTTAACTTTTTTCCACCTTCTTTACTTCTTTTACTATTTTTTTTTGCTAACTTTCTTTTATTCTTTTTTCTTTTTTTCCAAAGGTCCTCTCAAAAAAGATAATTTATTTTATACTATAATTTTATTTTTGGAAGTCAAATAAATAATTTATTCAATAATGACTTTTGTTTTTTTAGTACAATGAAACATGTAATTTATTCAAAGTTAACTTCTTCTTTTTTTTCAATTTTGTCGAAAGACTAACCCTTTTTTTTTTTTTTGTAATTTTTGATGGGTTCAGTCAAAAAATAATTTATTCAATAAAAAAAAAAATTTGGTATAATCAAAAGAAATAATTTATTCGATAGACAGATTTTTTTTTTTTTTAATCCTCTTTTTCCTACTTTTTTTTTTTTTTTTTTGGTGGGATCTTGACAAAAGAGAAATTTCTTCAATAAATATATATATTTTTTTGGAGTTTTTTTCCTATCAAAACAAATAATTTTTTAATGGTTACTTCTTTTTTTTTTTTTTTTTTTTGACTCAGATCAAAAGAGGCAATTTATTAACATAATATATATATATTTTTTGTCCGGTTAAAAAATATATGTATTTGTTCAAAAAAAAAATTTCTTGCCAAAAAGAGATCTAAAATATTAAAAAATCTGGAAAGAGAGTTGTGCCATTTAAAAAATAATAATAATTTATTTGTATAGTTAAGGTTAGAATTATCATTTTATTTAAAATTGTAATCCAAACATTGAAAAATGGAGTGTCAATATCACCTCCCTTGATATAAGTCTTTATTTTATTTTATTTTTAAAAAATACTTATTAGGTTTTAGAAAAGGAAAACAATAGACATCAAGAAGTGATTTTCATGATTTTATTACTAATGAGACGTGGCATAATTAGCTTTAATTTTCAAAATTAGGAAGAGAAAATCTCACTCAGATTTCATTTTGGGGAACTAATATACTTTTTCTTGAATCATTCTTAGATTTCATTTTGGAAGTTTCTAGTAGAAACCACACGACTTAATTATACATTTTTACTTGAACACCATGTGTGTGTGTGTGTGTGTTTATATATTGAACCTATGTATAATTAACCATGGAAATAATAATTTCTAAATAATTCTAATGTGTTAGTCCGAAACTATAACTCTTTAAAATTTAGGAATATGTTTCTATCTCTTATGCATAGTTAAAGCTTAGAATTATGGATGATTACTAAAAAAAAAAAAATTTCAGGCATCTATAAATGAAATTATTCATGGATAATTGTTTGATGCATTATGGAGGATGACTATTTTGATAGGCTTCAATGTTGACTTCGGATGACTATAGTAGAAAAAGAATATGGATATTTATACTTCTGGAAAGAAAATATTGAGAGTGACTAGCCTAAAAAATAGGAAATGGTGATTTTGACGGAGAAATACGGCATTGCATTTACCATTTGTGATACAATATAAATTTTTTTTTAATTTTTCTTTTTACGAAGTCTCTTTAGAAAAAGTGTCCAAAAACTGTATATAACATGTCTATACTAAGGAAGACTTAATAGTGCTAGAGTTGATTGAAAAAATATTCAAGATTATATCACAAATGGTAAATATAATATCATATTTTTCCATCCACGTCTCTCCTCTTTGGTTAATTCTCACTTCTTTCCTGGGTTAGTTTCTCTCTCTCAATATTATATTTTCAAAATTATAAAGATCCATAGCCTTCCTTTATCATAATCATCACAAAATGTCAACATTAAATCCCATCAAAACAGTCTACCCCTACACGTGCACAAAACAATTGTTCGTGACTAATTTCGTTTATAGGTGCCTTAATTTTTTTTTGAATAATCATCCATAATCCTAAGCCCTAACTATACAGCTTTAGTATATAAATATATAGACACATATATACACCACATACACACTGCGTTTAAGTAAAAATCTAGAGCGTGGAAATTTCCAAAAGGAATTCTAAAAAGATCAAAGAAAAAGAAAATTCACTCCCAAAAGAAATTTTGAGTGAGGTTTTCTCTCCAAAAGCTAATTATGTCATATCTCTCATTAGTGATAAAATAATGAAAATCACTTTGTTTGGTTCCATTTTTTTTAGTATTATTTAGGACTTATTCTTTTCCATTTTTCGAGTATTAAAAATTTTAAAATTGTACAAAAATTTGTTTGGTTGACGGTTTAAAAAAATTATTTTTTTAAATAACGTAGTTAAAAAAAAAAACTATTTTTAGAAAACTATTTTATGTTTTGTGAATTTTTTTCTAGTTATATATCAAAGCAAGCCTTTTAGCCTTCCTAATTTATGATTTTTTTAAAAAAAATGTATCTAAAATAAAAAGGAAAATAAAAAAAATGAACAAACCCCTTTCATTCCAAAAAAGAAAAGAAAAGTCATTCTAGTATTTCATTAAGCCAAAAACAGTTTCAATCACGTGACTGGAACCTAATTTTGACTCAAAAGATGACTTCAGTACAAAGGCATCCAATATTGAGGTTCCCATGTTCCTATAGCTGGCCTGCATCTTATTTCATTCATCACAACTTTTTTTCCTTCCAAAGGCAATAAATGTTTCTGATTTATAAGTTTAACATATTTTATAGTAATTTTTATTATTAATCAACGCGCCTTTGGCCTAGGACATAGTTCTTAATTTTCAAATTCACGACTAGAAGTAAAATGGTACTAGTACCATATCGGAATGGAGCTATTTTACATATATTGTTTTAGTTTCCATATTATTTAATAATGCACTGACAACGACCTTTTTCCTTTCTTTTGTCTGTGATCTAATAATGAATATATAATAAGAGATTCAAATATATATATGCATATATATATGACAAATTCCATATCATTTCCCAGTACGTCTCTTCTGGCAGCCATTAATGGGGCTGCGCATTCGGTTCAAATCATGATTCAAAAGCTGCCACCGACTCAGAAAATTGCGAATTGAGGGAGATATAAAACATTTTTTTTGAAAATGATTTTTCATTTTTTTTTAAGTAAAATAATATTTTTATTTTTTTTGGTATTTGGTAAAAATATAGATCAAGTATAGGTTGAGGTTGAAGTTGAGGTTGGGGTTAATGTCATTGAGAAGGATATGTAAAATAATTTGTCAAAAATTGATGAGTAAATTATTTTTGTTAATTTTTAATATTTTTTTCTTTATAAATATTTTACGATAACAAAAAAATTAAAAAAATAAAAATTTATTTTATAAAAGAGCAAAGTGGGTATGAGAGTGAGTAGGTGAGTTTCTTGCCATGTCAAAAAAAAAAAAAAAACAAAAAACAAAAATTGTTGACCTTAATCCTACATCAAGTGGTGGTGTGCCCGTGTATATAATTTGTCCGCAGACTATAGGGTAAAGTTGGTTGGATTTAGCAACCTGTATTAAATTAATTGAGAATTGATAGTAGTTAAAAACATCAAGTCTTTTTCACCATCACCCAACACTTTCATGCTTGCTAATCACATGACTAAACAATTTAGCAACTTGTATTAAATTAATTATCAATTCTTTATCCCTTTACACTCCAAATAATCATATAAAGTCAAACTAATAAAGTAGTATATAAGGATCACTGATAAATATATGCACATAGTTGGTGATGGTACTGTGTGTTTGAAATGAATAAGTAGTTGGGAAGTTTGATTAATCATACTATAAAACATGACATTTGAAAGTAATTTGATTTGTGGTTAGTGTCTTAGTGAAATGGTGCTCCTTAGACTTTGAAGAGATGATGGTGTTTGTTCCATTGTTTTTTTGTTTTGACAGTCAAGAAAACACTTTGAAAAGAGCGTAACGTTGAAAGAGACCAGAGTATGTATTTTTTTTTTATATTGATAAGCGTGTAATTATAGAAAAGTAGGGAACAATATGTCTGATTACTTGCCACTTTTGACTTTTTCTTTATTTGCTTTTTCTTTCTTTTGTACACTACAATTTATTTTCTTAGCTTTGTACTCATCCTTCCTTCGTCATCTCCTTTCAAAAGAATTTTTTAAAGTATATTTTTATATTATTATATTTCTAGCTTACAATTAAAAAACATTTAAGTTGATAATAGTAAGCTGAGAAAGCACAAACTCTTTTAGTGTCTAGTATAATTAAAATGCAAAGAACAACTGCCCATGCCTGATCAATTTTTTTAGAATAGCTTTTAAATCTCAGAGCACTTAACTCCGAATAAACAGTTTAAAATTCCCTTTGACCCGTAAATTTTGCTCATAAAATATAGGTGTATGTTCTACAATTATTGCAAGGATTTTTTTATTTTTATTTTTTTTTTCTTTTTTCTCGAAATCTAGACCTAAGGCTTCTGGTGGAGTTAACACACACACACACACACATATATATAAAGATTTCTTTTATTGAGATTTAAACAGTTGAAAAAAAGGGAGTTTGGACTAGGTTGATGGGTATCCCTCGTCCGACTGTAAAAGGTTTTTGGGCCTGTGGCTGCTCCAAAGTTGATTTTAAACAGATCTGCTGGATTTCAAAGTTGTTAACTGGGCTTTTTATTCTTATTTTTCGTTTTCCTGAAACTACTGATTACATGTAATATATTCACACATATTATTCTTTCATTGTATAATTTTAAGTGGATGCAAGATGTTTTAACTTTTAAGGTACAAATATATAAAAAGAAAATATTAGTGTATCAAAAAGAATGGACAATATTACGAATAAGTGAAAGGAAAATAATAGTATTACTCTCACTAAAATTTATCATAAAAATATGAATTTTATTATTAATTTCAATTGACATTACCATTTTATGATAAGTTGATATTAATAATAAAATTAAGACAAATGATATAATTAATATTTAAATAAAAAATAGTAAAAATAACTTAATAAAAAATAAAAAATTTAATGAAAAAAATAAAAAATAATGAATTCATCCTTAATCTCATCAAATCCTTAGTTGAGAAAAATTATTTATAAAAGGGAATTAGAAGAATTGTTCAGGGTTATTATTAATTTTTTTTTTTTGCAATTTACCCGACCCAAAATTAAATTATTTACTCTTAACAAGGTCGGAAATATTAGAAGAGCTATTCTGTCCGCTCAAAAGTCAAAATAGAAACCGGAGATTCTATCAAGTTTTCCGGCAAGTATTGCCGATCATGCACCGCCGGCATGGTTGGTGACTGTGTGTCTATTTGTTGCTGCCGCTTCGCGGTTGTCAACTTTTTGGCTCTTGCATTCATCAAGGTACCGTGGATGAAGGGAGGAGGTGTTTGGGTCTCGGGAAAAAGAATAGTCGGGAGATGGAAAGAAAGAGAAAATGTGAGAGAAGTGATAGCGGCTGCGAGGTGGATACATATGGAAATTCTAGGAAGGGAAGGGTAGAGGATGGAACATGGGAAATTTTAAGAGGGTTGGAATTAGATGAACAGAAAGAGGACAATTTTGAGGCACGCGGAGTTCGGTGAGAGTTGTACCAGTTGGGTCATTTGGATTTGGAAGGGTATCCTGGAATTCAATCTCAGGTAAGGGCAATTAGGGGATACTGTTTATCAACTTAATTTCTCAGTCCTTCACACTTTTCCATTACATATATTATTAATTGTCAAATTTACCCTTGTCCTACTTTAATTTCTCTTCATTTTCTTTTGATGAATAGACAGAAACTAAGATATTGGGAATAAATAAATTTGAGGAATAGGCTGAATTTAGAGGACCCTACAACGTTCTTTGCTGTCTATATATGCGCAAGAGTTTTACTAGTGCTATCTCAACCATTGATATGCAATTGCAGCTGTGATATCCTCCTATACTTGTTAGAACATGTCATTTACAATTTCAGTTAAGAAGAACCATTTTTTAATATTTTTTTGTAATTTCAAATCTTTTGAAGTCTTAAACATAGTTAGTTTTAAATTCTAGGAATCGAAAAATTGAAATTTCAATTTATCGCAATGAAATTGCATGATTATAACGTAATCTCTCTAATTTGGCTCTTAGCATGACTAGTAGGATCAGTTCAGATTACCATTTTCATCCGATATCCAAATACCCCTTAATGATAAATCAAGAAACAGTTTTTCAGATTCTACTTTTCTTAGGAGAAGCTACATTTGCCCTGTTTAATATTAAAGTGGTGATTTCAGAGAGAATGCTGACTGAGAGAGTGTTAACAAGAGTTGTAACAGGCTGTATTGAGAGACTGTAACTAGCTGCATTTTGGTGGACACAACTCTAATTCTTATTGCCTTGGAAAAAAAAAAAAAGAAGAAGGTAACTAGCTGTAGAAAGTTTTATTCACTCACTTGAAACATTTGGCCAAGAGTTGACAAATGTTAAAATCAGTCGAAAAGACATTTTACCCACATATTTTTTTTTTTGCCTTTCTTATTGAAGTCGTCTATAAGGCTGTCTGGTCATTTAAAAATAAATTATGTAGAACCAGCTAAACCCATACCACCTTCTTTATAAGTATTATAATGTAAATTATGTTTTAAAATATCAATCAAGCAACATATTATATATCTATGATGATCCACCAGCCCAGTTTTGACGCTTTTGACTTTTGATTCCTTTTCGAGGCTTTAGTTTCAGGCCATAGGAATATTTGAGTTCCTCAAGCTTTCACAAAAGAAACTTTTTTGTTATTCTTTTGTTGCTTTTGTTTTCTCTGAATCCCATTAGTTGCTGTATCTATTCTTTTAGACAGAGGAAAGGATGGTTGTCGGGGAGATCTTTCTCACTGGCCACTAGGGTATTGGAAAAGTTTGCACGTCAGAAGGGAATTGATACTCAGTTGAAGAAGTTGAGCAAGACGCTGCTCATAATTCAAGCCGTGATCGGTGAGGCAGAGGAGAAGCAGATAACAGACAGAGCTGTGAGATGTGGCTGGAGGATCTCAACGACCTGGCTTATGATTTGGATGATTTGTTGGACCAGTTTGCCACCGAAGCTTTGCGATGCCAGTTGATGGATCAGGAACCTAATGCCAGCACCAGCATGGTGCGAAAACTCATCCCTACTTCTTGTACTAGCTTCACTATTCCTGGTGCTTTTATTTTTGATTGTCATTTGAGGTCCAAGATAGAAAATATCACTGCCAGGTTACAAGAGATCGCAGCACAGAAAAATGACCTGGGTTTGGAAAAAAATGCTAGAGGGGTGAGAGAAAGATTGCCCCTGCCTGTCTGGGCAAACAAATCTGATATTTATGGCAGAGAAAATGATCAAGAGGCAATACTTGAGTTGTTGTTAAGGGGCAATAGAAATGATGATGTTGGACCCTCTGTCATTCCAATTGTGGGTATGGGAGGTGTTGGTAAAACAACTCTTGCCCAGCTGGTGTATGATGATGAGAGTTTGGAGAGTCATTTTGATTTGAAGGTTTGGGCTCATGTTTCTGATCATTTTGATGTTTTTAGGATAAAGACGGTTCTTGAATCAATCACCTCAAGTGCTTGGAATTTCGAGGATCAAAATAAGCTTATGACTAAACTAAAAGAAAAGTTGTCCGGTAAAAAGTTTCTTCTTGTTTTGGATGATATTTGGAATGAGAATTCTATAGAGTGCGACAACCTACTTAGTCCTTTTTCAGTTGGGGCACCAGGAAGGAAAATTATTATTACAAGTCGTAGTGACAATGTCGCATCAATCATGAGAACTGTTCCCACTCTCTATTTAAAGGAATTAAATGATGGCGATTGTCCATCTTTATTTGCTCAAAATGCACTCAAAAGAAGAAATTTCGATGCACATCCGGGTCTCAAAGAAGTTGGTGAGAAAATAGTGAAAAAATGCAATGGCTTACCTTTGGCAGCAAAGACGCTTGGAGGCCTCTTACGAAATAAGTTACGCCAAGATGAGTGGAAAGATATATTAAACAGCAAGATATGGGAGCTACCGCCAGGGAGAAGTGGTATTCTTCTGACTCTTAGATTAAGCTACCATCATCTTCCTTCACATTTGAAGCGATGGTTTGCTTACTGCTCAATATTTCCAAAGGGTTATGAATTTGACAAATATGAAGTAATTTTGTTATGGATGGCGGAAGGTCTTTTACAACTATCCGAAGGGAAAAAAGAAATGGAAGGTTTTGGCAGAGAATGTTTTGATGGTTTATTATCAATATCATTTTTCCAACAATCAAGTGACAAGAAGACTGGATTTGTGATGCATGACCTCATAAGTGATCTAGCTCAATTTGTTGCTGGAGATATATGTTTCAGGATAGTTGATAATTTTGATGGTAATGGGCAAATTGCAGTTTCTAAACGGGCTCGCCAGTTGTCTTACACTAGTCAACGATACGGAGTCTTTCACAACTTTGAGAATCTTTATGAAGTTCAAGGTTTGCGTACTTTTCTATCATTACCAGTTCACAGTGTGTCTAGCTGGCCAAAATATCAGTACTTAAGCAACAGTTTCTTGTCCGATTTATTGCCTAAATTACAAGCCTTATGGGTATTGTCTTTGTCTGGTTATGAAATAAGTGAGCTACCAAATTCAATTGGCAACTTGAAGCATCTACGGTACCTCAATTTATCTTATAATTCGATCCAATTGTTACCTAAATCTGTGGGTACTTTGTACAATTTGCATACACTATCATTGCGCAACTGCAAAGCTCTACGTATGTTGCCTGCAAGCATTGTTAATTTAATTAACCTATGTCATCTTGACAATGCTAACACTGAGCTGTTAGAAGAGATGCCTTTGGGGATTGGCAGATTGACAAATTTGCCAACATTGTCAAAGATTATTGTGGAACAAGGCAATGGGTCAAGACTAACGGAGTTGAAGCACTTATTTCATCTACGCGGAATGCTTTCTATTGTGAAGTTAGAAAATGTAATGGATGTTCAAGAAGCAATGGAGGCCAATTTAATGGGTAAGCAAGACCTTGATGAATTAGAGTTGACATGGGGCAAAAATGTCAATAATTCTCAAAATGAAATACTTGAAATGGATGTACTCAACCTGCTAAAACCACATGGAAACTTAAAAAAGCTCAAAGTTGAGTTCTATGGTGGAAGGAGTTTTCCAAATTGGATAGGAGATCCAACATTTTCTGAAATGGTGAATCTAAGTCCTATTGGTTGTGCGAAATGTAAATCTTGACCACCACTTGGACAGCTACCCTTGCTCAAAGACCTATGCATTGGGGGCATGAATGGAGCTATAATTGTTGGTTCTGAGTTTTGCAAACGTGATTGTGCATTAGAATTTCCAGCTTTTCAATCACTGGAGACTCAAAAATTTGAAAATATGATGGAATGGGAGGAATGGTCTCTGTTGAATGGCGTCAAATTTGCTGCACCACAATTCCCTCACCTCTGAGTGCTTACTATACATAAATGTCCCAAGTTGAGTAAGGTTTCAATTTTAAGGCTTCCATCACTTTGTGAGTTGCACCTGGAAGAATGTGATGAGATGGTGTTAAAGAGTGTCACTGATTTGTTCTCACTATCGATCCTGAAAGTCAAGAGTATTACACGACTATCTAAACTCCCGGAAGAACTGGTGAAGTTTTTGGTGGCACTTGAAAAACTTGAATTTTATGAATGTGAACAACTGGTTACTTTGTGGGAGAATGGTTTTTTATTGGGCGAAGAAGATGCATCACCGGCACCGTTTGGTAAACTTGAAAGGTTGGAAATATATATGTGCTCCAATGTGGAGAAACTACCAAATGAGTTGAACAGGCTAACGTGTCTCAAAAAGTTGTTTATAAGTGGGTGTCCAAAACTTGTGTACTTCCCCAAAAGGGGTGTCCCGCTCACTCTTACATATCTTCGGATGACAGGGTGCGAGAGCTTGAAGTCCCTCCCTGACAGCATCTCTCACCTTGAAGATTTGAGTGTCAGTGATTGTTCATCTCTGAGGTCGTGGCCAACAGACACATTTCCCACCACACTCAAGTATATTAATATTGAAAATTGCATGGAATTGGAGTGGGTTTCTGAGACAATGGTAGATGAGAACAGCAGTAGTACCAGTAGTAGTTTATCATCACTTGAATGGATATACATAGATGATTGGCCAATTATGAGAAGGTTAGTTAGGTGCCTGAACCATTTTGCAAATCTCCTTTACCTGTGTATATACAAATGCGATAGTTTGGAGTGCTTCCCAGAAAGAGGTGGTTTATCCTTCAATCCCAACCTCAGAGAACTTCGTATCTACTATTGCGTGAATCTGAGGTCCTTGCCGTCATTCGATCAGATTCAAAGCCTCACAATGCTGGATTTAAAGAGTTGTCCAAATCTTGAGTTGTTTGGCAATGAGAATGAGAATTTGCCCCCAAAACTTGTTGAAATTTCAATTGATGTGATTATGGGACGCCATCCCTGTCAGAGTGGGGCCTGCACAGACTCACCTCTCTTCAACTATTCCAAATCTATGGTGGATTTTCGGAGATGGTTTGCTTTCCTGATGATGATGAAAAAGAAGAAGAGCACTCTGTGTTTCCTGCAACTCTAACCAAGTTAAGCATCTGTAAACTCCCGAATGTGGAATGCATATCATCCAAGGGGCTCCGGAATCTCACCTCTCTTCAACGTCTATTTTTCTACAAATGCCCTAAGCTAAGGTCCTTGCCTAAGGAGGGGCTGCCTTCCACGCTTCAATTGCTGGAAATAGATGAATGTCCAATTGTAAAAAAAAGGTGTAAGAAGTACAGAGGAGATTACTGGCCCATCATTGCCGACATCCCTTGCGTGGAGATAGATGGCCATTATATATATGAAATAATTTCTGACTGATTCCCATTCGGATTTTTTTATAAGGTAAGGTAAGCCCATTCCCTGCACTCACCTTAACACTTCTTCAATTTGAATTTCCTGCTCTACCTGCATTAAAAAAAACAAGAAATCCTTTTGATTTGATGTCTGTCTTGCAAAAATCAGTGAATAACTGCACATCAATGATAAAACTTACAAAAAATGCATGGAGGAACACTGTATACGCTTTTGTGACTCAAGAATAATATTCTCCTTTCATCCATGTCTTTTTGTAAAATATTAATTGTTCCATTCATTTCTAATTTTTCGGTAATGTAAAATTTTATTACCAAGAAAAGAAATGATGTACAATAACTTTGAGAACACACTCTTGGATAAAGGGATAACAATCAATATTTTAAAACACTGTGGACATTGATTTCTTAGGACACTTGTTGTTTGATTCTTTTCAGGCATGACTCCATGCGCCTGTCATGTGGAGAGTCTGGAGACAGCTTCTGTATAGACAGATTAGATTTGAGGCAGGTCCAGCCAAGTAACTTCATATTTATGGAACACTCGTGTTGATCAATGGCTGAAGTATAAAACAGCATTGTTCACATTTCTCGCACACAGGTAATTGACTACGTATGCGCTGACGTTCTTTTAATTTTTAAGATCCATGAAAAGTTTCTTTCGCAATATCTAAATTTGTCTGTAATTTCATAGGGTTTTGTGGTTGCAGCCTATGAGTTCCTTATCAATTTGCTGCTCTTTGCTGAAAAAAAAGAAATTCCATGGACAAATATGTTTTGGATTGGGCTTTTGTCATGTACATTAAAATTTATTTTTTCCTACATAATCATTCATATTTTGCCAAAGGGTAGCCTTTTTATATGCACTGGGGTCTTAATGCGTTGGCTCCCTTTTTATGATCTCTGGTGTGCCTAATAATTAATGGTCCTGGTGACAGAGCATTGGTTGCTAAACTTTACATTGGGAATGGCCTTGATTATCTTCCACTGCTGCTGTCTTCAGGTTAGAACTTAGAAATGAGAAGTATTTGCTACCAACCAATTTATTTATTTTGTGATTTTTCTATAACTTGTTGCCAAAACTACTCCATGGGACTGTCGTGCTTAGTTGCTGTAAAATATAAGATGTTCTAAATGCTCGGCAGTGTGATACCCCCTAATTTTGGAACACGGGTTGATCAAGTCCGCGCACAAAATCAAGGGATATCAAAACAATTTAAGTATTTAACAAGCACAGAATACAAAGATGAATAATAAAGAATAAATAAACCGCTGAAGAAAACTAATAAATAAATATTACTTAATGATTCTCCAACAATTACAATTCAGAAATCCCATAACTCAAGGACCCCTTAAAACATTATCCAATAATCCAATACTATTTAAAAGTACACAAGATGAATAGACGAATGACAGTCTCCCAGCTGCGGATCCTCAACCTCGAGACTGGAACCTCTAATAACCTGAAAAATAAATCGTGGGTTAAACCCTACGAGCAAGTTCACTCTACCAGGCCTCTGAAAACCAATAAGCAGATCATCTCTGATCAAAACCAAACCTAATAAAGTTTTAACTTTAATAAAGCACGATATACATGTCTATATATAATTATATATACTATACTAATCACATCCATTAATAGGTTTATTAAATTTCCATACCTATTAAATAATTATTAAAATAATATTCATACCTAGACCAATCTACCATTTCATTTTATAAAAACTCCTTTGACCTCAATCCCATCCTAGTCAGTTGTTTAATCATTTAAACAACAAATTATAATAAAAAAAATACTCTATATAATCCCAACCCGATAATGATTTTAATTGTTTAAATCACATATCAAAAATCCAAGTTTTGACAAATCATCCACGTCTTCCCCAATATTATTTTATTAATGTAAAATAATACACTAACAAGTAAGTACTAAACTATTCTCATTTAAGAATATCTAACCCTAATCCAATCTATACATACAACAACTATAGATGCTATTTTAATCATCTAACACATAACAACGTAATTATGCTTTGGCAAATCAACCATGCCATTGTAAATATTTTTATTTATATATTGGCAATTCAACCATGCCTCCATAAGTATATTTATTTATACATTGGCAATTCAACCATGCCTCCGTGTATGTATATTTATACATTGGCAATTCAACCATGCCTCCACAGGTATATTTATTCATACATTTAATTAGCAATTCATCCATGCTTTCCATATATGTATTCTATTCATACAAATATTTAGGTAATATATTTAATCATTTGACAATTCATCCATGCCCACACTTTAACCATGAATTAACTTTAAAATTAACAATACGCTAAATCATACATAGCCATCACATGCATATTATACGCATATCATTAATTTAACAACCAGCCTATTAAGATATGCCAAATAAGAATGATAATATTAATCATCTTAAATGATTTATATATATATATACCTACACATATGTTATTTAATGTATATATGTGTTTAACACCTTCTTTAATAATCCTTGATTATTTAAAATCAATATACATACATACATACATACATACATATATATATATATATATATATATATATATTCATCCTTCCATACAACTCATAGACAAATTAAACTATATATACCCATATATAAATAATTATATATATATATATATATATATACACTTCCTTCCATAACAAATTATTAATTTATTATATTTACCCCAATTAGTGCAACTAAATATGTCAGAAATAGTTTCCTTTAAATACTCCATACCGGTTTAAATAGTTTTCCGACACCGTCTCACTAAAGCGTAAATATCTCTTATTAGGATAAGAATCTGATAATGAAATTGGTACCATTGGAAAGAGGACGAAAAATCCTTGAATTTGAGCTCAAGAATGACCCAGTTTCGATTTAAGATGACTAAGTTATGACTGTTTTAATTTTATGTCACAAACAGACAAAATAATTGGCTAAGCTCAAACACTACTGTGAGCGCGCCCACACTTAATTAGCTCACTTGAGCTCACACAAACGCACCCACACCAGATTAGCTCACTTGAGCTCACATGTATGCACCCACACCAGATAAATCTTCTGTTGACCAAACTTAATCCATGGTCCAGATTCACATGCGCACCAAAGTTTTATGCGCCGCGATGCACCATATCAATTCACATAAGTTTAATTAATCAAATGGCCCTAATTGGCGTATACACCATATTATCCTACACCGCGCCGCACTGGATCAGTTACCTAGTATATATATATATATATATATATATATATAATTATTTTCCTAACAAATAATAGGAAAATAAATCCTAATAAATTCCTAAAAATATCAGAAAAATTCCAGAAAATTACAGAAAATAAAGAAACCATAATTAACTCTCTTGGGTCACAAATCCA